TCGAAGTTCTGTCTTTAAAAATCCATGTAAAATATTATTAAAATTATATTTACGTAATTTATATGTATAAAATTAAAGCCACTCAAATTATCACTAGATAACTTAATCAAGACTGGCTGTTGTTGGTAATTGTCTTGGACATATCATGGTGGGGGAAGTTCAGGGGGAGGGCGGGAGATGAGCGGAAAGTGCTCTGTCACTAGGGGAGCCGGGTGATACATTTTGCTGTGGTGGGTTTTTCAGAAGGGAGCAAGCAGGAAAAAGGAAATGGCTCTGTATGAATATTGTTCACTGTTTTGTGCCTTTGAAGACAATTAACAGTCAAGTATCACGTTCAAAACAGAAAATAAGTTACTCTTCCTTGAATGAAAGGAAAACGGGGTATGCAAAAAAGCATAAAAACAAAAGCAGATGAGGTATCCCGAGAAAAAGGAACCTTGCTTGGCTAAAGTAAAATAACTGCTGTTTACTGCAGGTCATGTACTGGGCACAGACAATGCCATTCAAACAAACAACAGTAACTACTGCATACTTGCGTGTTCCCTTCCTCGCTGCTACTCCAGGGTGAGCCTGGCGTGTTCACACAGGAGACCTGCCTTCCTTTACCGGTGGCCCTTTAGATGTGTGCTGTGACATTTTAGTAATAGCTTTGTGATGGTTGATGATTTCCCATCATTGTTTGTATTGCTCTGTGGAAAACAGTAAATGAAGATGGTGATCCCTGGGTATTCATGTTTTCCCAGAGAAATGTTAGTATTCTGGAATTAGAGAAATGGGAGAGAAAAAGTCATTCATGTGATTATATGTTCTAGTCTTGCTTTTCCAGATTGGATATAATTACTTGGTCTGTTTTAGCCTGACATTTTGTAGCTCAGCCTGATTCTTCCCTTCATGTCTGGGAGTGATCATCTTTATTTTTAATTGGTATATGTTTTCAACAAAGGAATCATGAAACCATATGTTAAAAGTGGCTCTAAGTACAACATATAGAGTATAACCAGTAGTAATGTAATATCTTGGTCTGGCAACCGGATGATTACACTTACTGTAGCAAGCATCTACTAATATATATGTAATTATCAAGTCACTATGTTGTACATCTGAAACCAATATAATATTGTATATAAACTTTATTCTAATTTTTAAAAAGTGGCTGAAATTTTAGGAGTCATAAAATAAAATGAGTAACTAAAACCTAGCCAAGCACACATACTCTCTCCTCTTAGTCATCTCCCACAGCTTACTTAATGGTTGAGTATGATTTAACCTTTATATATGGATTTAATGTAGGACTGAGCACTTTTACATCCATAATCTCATGTCAGGTTGGTATTATTGTCTATGCTTCATGGGTGACAAAACCAGAGGGTTAAATGACTTACCTAAAGTCATATAGTGACACTTGGACTTAGGTCTTCTACTTCTGCAGTTGGTGACCTTTTCACCAACTGACTTGGTGAATCTGTTATTGAAGTCTTTCTGTAAATCATTTTCTGTTAATTGAGTTCTATGCTCCATTACTAAGTGAACCCATATACTGAAAAAAAAGTTACATTTCACTAGAATAAAAAATACATACAGTGCCCTGAATGAAATCCCATATAAAAATATAGCATGCTTTTATCTTACTTTTCAGGAAGATAATTTTCTGATAAACTACGACTAAACATTAAGTCCAAAAACATGGGAGTGCCATAGTCAAAATGCATTAAAATAAGACTATCTACAAGTAAAACCATACAGAAGTGACTTGGTTTGTGAATTGCTTAATCTTTAGGAATTATGTTAAGTGAAGGATAGAGGTACTTGAAACCAAGAGAAATTCATCCTGCAAACTCAAGCTGTCAACAATGTTGAGATTATGTTGAGCTGCCTTGTTTCATTGTGAAATGAGGAAATAGACCAATAAACCTAGTAGTGTCTCTTTCAGCTGAGAACGATAGAAGGTGAAGCATAAGCAGTAACCAGGGACTGGTGAGAACCCGCCGCCTCCCCTCCTCACTCCATCCAATACCCAGACAGGCAGGAGAGGGACAAGGCTCGGGGTGCAGGCTCAGCTCTGATGCAGGACGGCTTAGGCCACCATGACCAAATCTGTAATTTCTAGTTCTGAATGAGCCGCCCATTTCCCCCACTAATTTACTCTTGTGTAATGAGTGAGTTTAAAAATAATATTTTTGGGAAATCTTGTCCAATGTGGCTTACAGGATACATGTGAAAATAAATGCTGGCCGTCACCTTATCAGACACTGTAAGGCCTTATTTTTAAACATTCTTTCCAAGAAGGGCCTGTTTATAGCACAGAGGCCTGCAGGAGACAATGCGGGGCGGATGGTGGATTGCTGCCTAAGGCACTTACTTGCTTAAGAAAAATTGCTGTCAGATGAGTGGTTTCAAAAAGTACAGGCTGCAGCTGGGTCTTTAGTGGGTAGAGGATTAAAGGGAATGCATTTCTCCTCTCCTTTGTAAATATTTGCTGGAGAGCTAATAGGTTTTTGTTTGCATGTGTATTTCCTTTTTCTATTGGGGAAATTGTAAATAATACAGGAACATCCTGTGATAAAATATATGAAGTAGAGGCTGAGGGAACGGTTGGGTGAAATAAATGTGCCCTAGGTCTGTGGCTTACTGTACTATGACTAAAGTCTTGGCATCCAGATTTGTTTACAGGTGATTAACTACAGTATAAATAGAGGAACGTGTGATGCATAAATAGGCTATTCCTATTTCAGCATAAGAATCATGCATCTCTATCAGAGAAATCATAAATGCTTTTACAAGCCTTGAATTTTATTTTACTTTAAATTAGTGCCCACCCTGGAGGAATTCTAGTGAGCATAATCCCATGTAATCACAAGCACTCATATTTCTAAATGAGCAGAGCCTTCGGTGCATTGCTTAAATGGCATGAAAAATGGCTCTCCCAATTCCGTATCTGCTTATCTGATGAGATACCTGCAATATGAGAGTGAGGCTGGGACTAATTAAATCTGAGTTTCGAAACAAAGAAACACAGGAAAGATCTCCAACTGTAATTGTTGATTCTGTGAAAAATAGGAATGTAGAAATTTCTGAAAATATTAGTCTTTGTTTTCTCAATCCTCTCTTCAAGAAGTTTAAATATACTCCAAAATAATAGAATTGCCTTATTAACATTTAAGTTACCAATCCTCACTTCATGAAATTACATTCTGATAAATATTTTATAACCACATATTATATTCCAAACTATTGACTTGCTGCCTTTAATAAACATAGTTCTCTTTTCTGGAGGTAGTGTCTGAGGAGACCTTTTTTGGAGCTTGAAGAAAGCCCTCCCAGCAGAACCCCTCATCCAGCCAGAGGAGCCCCTTGCATTCTTGCCTGGTGACACAGGCTGCAGGAGGGATGTAAGAGAACTAACTAGACAGGCTGGTAGCCTGGTGCTCCCTTCCACTGTCCCCAGGGGCCAGGAGAGTGCCAGGGTAGGCCCATCAGCCTTATTCTCGCCTGTCAACCTAACCAGGGGAAGATGAAGAGCCAGCTGGGCTTTCCAGTGCCAGGACCTCTGCAGGGTTATCAATCTCTTCCCCTCCTCTGCTGGACCCTCTTAGAGAAAGCTCTCATCTCCAGCCCCTCTCTGGAAAAAGCTTTCTTTGAGGATCTGGGCAGTGGAGAGAGACTAAGGCAGTATCTTTTCTTGCTGAAATCTAGTTACCTGGGCATTGGGCATGTGGAGCCAGAGAGGTGTTAGGGCAGTGCCCACATTAGAAAAATTCTTTCCTGGGCACAACACCTGCCTTTTCTGAGTCTATCAGCTAGGGATGCCCTTTGTCTAGCCAGATTCTGCCTCCTCTTATGGGAGATGGGAGAGTAAACCTTTAACTGATAAATAACATGCATACAGAAAAGTACACAGATCCTAAGTGTACATCTCAATGAATTTTCACAAACAAAAGCATCCATGTAACCAGTGTCCAGATGAAGTTTATCTTTTCATAATGATATTTATCTTCTAGTTATAAAAACACAGGGTAGGGATTTTGGAAAATTCAGCACAATATAATAAAGAAAAAAACTACTCATTGTACCTACTCCCTGCAAAATGACCACTGGTAACATTTTAGTGTCTTCCAGTCTGTCACTCCTCTTTGCACACATAGAGACATGCACTCCCATAAACACACATACCCACTACCATGACCTCTGACCAAGTATGTGTGCACATACATACAGAAGAAATTCTAAATAGCTGCAATAACATGAAATACAGTTTTTTTTTTAGGTATTTCACTGCCTGGTCTTTGACTTCATCAGGAGAATGACTAGGAAGGTCAGGGAAATGGAAAACCATGTATCTTCCATTTGATGGCAGGAAAAGGGCTCCTTGTGGTGAGGCAGTTTAAATAAGTGGCTGACATATACATACAGATGGTTCATAAATTTCATTTATCCAGTATTTTCCCATGTCTTAGAAAACTGAACATTGATGATAGAAAGTAAAGGCACTTCTGGGTAGAGCACCTCTTGATGCAAAGCAGAGGTGAGTCCTAGACCTCTTCCCAGGCTACTTTGAAAAACTGAGCTCCTTATAGGCTCCAGCTTCACTTTGGCCAGATGGCCAACTTTGCCTTTTCCTTTTCATCAGCCTTCTTGAAGATACCCAAACAGGCTTTAACCACAGCAGCTTCCCATTGCTATTGGTGGTGCAGAGCATGTTGCCCATCTGCCTCCTGGCTGGCCAAGGGCTCAGCTTCCGCAGGGGCTTGATGGGGTTCCTTGGACTGGCAACGGTTGTTGTTTCCCTTGGAACTGCCTATGCTGTTCATTTTTTAAAATATATTTTGTTATCTTTTACTCTTGGGATTTGAGTTACTATATATACAGAAACTTCGCTGAACTTTTTATGTTTGTAAAATTTCTCCTGAGATCACTCCTTTCTCCTTGCTTGTTAAACACATGTTCACAAACAGTACAGCATGGCTTGTACGTTTATGCATGTTCCTGTCTTGTCTTTGCAGTCGAAATCAGCTGTCGGCCCTGCCTGCCTGCCTCTGTGGTTTGCCTCTCAAAGTCTTAATTGCAAGTAACAACAAACTTGGATCACTGCCAGAAGAGATAGGTCAGCTCAAACAGTTAATGGAGTTGGTATGTTACTCGTTTTTAAGATGCTCTTTTTTTGTTGTTTACTATTCATAGCCTATTAATGTAATCAGAAAGACTTTTCAATACATTTGGACAAGGAGGTGCCTACATTGTTGGAGGGCTGTGTATGATATAAAGAGATTAAGTGGGGAGAGGAACAATCTTGGCTTTGCTGCAACAGACACGGTTCCTGAAATTTACAGGTTTCCTGTAGTTTATACTTCCTGAAGTTCACAGGAATTAAGCTCCTGAAGTGTACAGGTTATCATATGGTAGTTCGATCATTTTTTTCCAGATTGCATGTAAGTTTGTGGTTTATGTAAGTTTACATGGATGTTTGTGTGCATATAAGTTTATATGGATAAACTGGCAAAATGATCTATAAGTAAGTTAGTAGGCCACACTTAATGAATGTATATAATTAAGTCAGAAGGAACAGAGTGATCTGATTCTGTAAGGATTTTAGTAACCATTGCTCCAAATTTCTGTCCCTCTAAAATGTGACCATATCTTTAGGGATAAAAAAGAACAAAGCAGAGATGGTCCTTAGAGATGGGCAGTTAAGTTACCTGGGGCCAAGATGTACAAATCTATTTCAGCTCTTCCATTAATTGAATTGCTAACCTTGTTTCTAAAATGGAAAAGAATAAATCTTGCTAGACTTCCACTGAGTTAAGATGGATGAATGAAGAGGCAAGAGTGATGACTAAGAAGAAATACGTGATTCCGTGAACATTCAGTGATACTCTTCTTACTCAGCAGTCTCCATGCAGGCAACCCCTGCACCTTGAATGCTGTTGAAGGACAGGAACTTAGTTTGTTTGCTGTTGTATCCCCATGCAGGCACAAGATAGAGACCCAGTAAATGTTCGGTGGATGCTGCTGTCAGGTGGTGAAATGTGGGCCATGAAGGTGGTTGGGACAGATTGTGAGGACTCTCTCAAGTGCTTTGCCATTTTCACTGGTTCCAGAAAACAAAAAAATAGAATAATGCTTTGAAACTGATAGTTATATGCTATTTTTTTGTTAATGCTTCTTTTAGGAGTCTGATAAACCACATAATTCAGATTTGCTAGAATTTGGATTAGTTCTCGCAAGCACAATGTGAATAACAAGGTGGGTTTCCCCCTCACCTCCTGACCTCCTGTGGATTGTGGCACACTAGTGAGGTCAGTGCTTCCAACCTTTTGGCAGCAGGAATGTGTTTCTGTCCTACTGCACAATGGGCTTAAATCGACAGTGTGACATCCATCAGCTGTGCTCCTAGAGCTAAGGATCAGCTCATCTGTTACCAGGTGGCCCAAGTGCTGAGCCCGGTGCCAGCCCCACACTGGAACAGGCCTTTCCTCAGATACTCTTGTCAGCTACTGGGCTGTCATGTGGCAGAAGTAGAGCAGCGCTTTCTCCAACTGGGGACACACAAGGTGCTGGGTGGTTGTGAAGGACGCCCTGAGCTTTTCTTAGGCGCCCTGTCTGGAGCCCAGCTCTCATGAAGGCTCTCATGAGTTACAGCACTGTTATCAGCCGGTCCTTGTGTCTTTTCTCCACCAGTAATAACTGTCGAACCCTTGAGTCCTACAGTGGCATCTAATCCAAGTTCTTGACATCTTACAAATGAAGAAATTCAAGGCAGAGTGACAGGGAGCCACCTACAGAACGTCGCCATGGCATAGCTCCCATATAATCTAAGCTGAAATACCATCACCCAGCACTGCCCTATGGAAAGATAATGCAAGCAGCAGATGTAATTTTAAATGTACTGCCACATTTAAAAAAAAGTGAAATTTATTAAATATATTTTATGTAACTTGGTAGTCAAAGTATTATTTCAACATATGTACAATATAAAATGAATGAGATGTTTTATATTTTTTTTTTGTACTTAGTCTTTGAAGTCCAGTGTGCCTTCTCCACTAAGGGCACATCGCAGATTGGACTAGCTGCATTGGTTGTGCTTGGTAACCACATGGGGCTAGTGGCCCCTGAGGCCCGGGCAACCCGGTAGCCTGTGTTCTTCCAGCTCTCTCAGCAAGCTTGGTCTTTGTCAAAGCGTTTATTTTTGAAGCTGGTGAATATTTAATAAGTTGCCATTATTTAGCCATAAGGAGTGACTGGCCTTGCTTAAGGTCACAGACTATAAAAAGGTTAGTTTCCACTGTTCTTATTTATCTTTCATATCTTTTTGCTTAAAATAGTAATGTTACTGTAGGTAACCACGTCAGATGATTTTTAGCTCTGAATTGGACAGAAATTCCCTGGAGATGCTGAAGTAATTCTAGAATAATGTGGGAGGCTTCTGTTATAGTCACATAGTAACCAACTTGTTAGAAAATTTGGGAACCCCCCAAGCATTCAGAGTGCCAATAAACTACGTAAATGCTGATAAAATCTCTCAGCTTATTAGGCTCTGAGCATTGCTCAACTGTGTTGGAAGAAATATTTTTAAATTTTCACATTAAACTCAAAGGGTACCTAAACTGAGTTGTAAACTCTCTTCTCTTTCAAGTGTATTCCAGACTCATCAATCAGTAAAAAACAAAAATTCAAGCACACAGTAGCCATCTATAAGAAAGGAGTTGTTTTCTCTAAATTTGGGGAGGAATTGGAATTAGAAAACAAAATCTTACCTTCATAAATATATCCCAGTTACCTAAAAATCTTTAAAAACATTGTCATTTTGGTGGTTGGCTTGTCCGGCCTTTTGAGACTGTGCAGGGATTTTGGAAAAGCAGCTGTTCCTCTTTCCAGGAAGAAGCCACTGAGAAACACTTTTGAGACATCCTTTTCTTGAATCCACAAGATGGCCGAGGTATATTTCCTCTTTGTTTTGGGTGCAGGAGAACGAGGGAATCGTGGCTTTATGGGGTGGGCCCCTCCACAGTTATTCTTATGGGAATGATCTAGAACTTCCTGAGCTCCTCGGCCACGTTAAGTTACTTCTGTTTGGCTGGTTCCCTCAGAGCTGTAGCTGTGTCTGTTCCTCTGTATGTCTTTAGCTGTGTGTTCTCTCTATAAGGGAAAGAGATAAAGTGCTGGCGCTTATGGAGTACCTCCTGTATGTCAGGGATTCTGCTAAGCACGTGACAACTATTATTTAATATAATTTTGACAATAACCCAGCAAGGCAGATACATATCTACATTTTACAGACAAGTTTGAGTTTTAGAAATACTTAGCCAAAACCGTGGGGTTATGAAGTGGGAGAGCTGGGGTGAAAACCAGATGTTTCTGATGGAAGCCCAATCCCTTTCCATGGCACAAGGCTGCTCTGCTCATTGTGCCCTCCTCTGGGTTGACAAAACCAGGATGTGGTACAAATGGACAGTGTCTGAAAATTTCTTCACTGAGGAGACACAGCCAGGCAGGAGGGTCAGTAGGCCTCTCTTGCATTGACTAAACCTTATTTTACTCATTAGAACTGTATTAACATGTTGGAAACATGGTTCTTTTACACTCAAATTGTGCCCAAAGGTAAGGCACGTTAAATAAATATTTGGTAAGAGATGCTGTATGAATGCCATGCGTTGTAATTGACCTACAGCTGTGCAGACACACTAGTTAGAACTCAGTAAGTTTGAGAACCATGGGGCATTTGCCAAAGTTCTAGAGGTTTTTTCACTGATTCTCTGTGCATGCTGACATACTGGGGTCCAGAGATGGTCTGTCTCTTGTTTATTTTTTCTCAGTTCTGTCCTTCCTCAACTCAAGCAGTGTGTGGATATGTATCTTCCACTTTTACCTTCGTGTAAGAGAAAACATATCACTGGGTCAGAGACCTGCTTTTACAACCAAAAATGTCACAGAGCCTGACTCAAGTAATAACTCACTGGAAGGTGCATTTCCTGGCTTTGACTAAACACACTTTTTATTCTCTTTCATGAAATGTTTGATTGTGTAGAGAGTTTGAATTCAAGGATTGATTATAGATACAGGATATATTGAACAGATTCTCCTCATTATTTTGTTATAGCATTCCAGTATCTGAGGTAGGCCTATTGGAGGCGTAAATCCACGTGTCTGCCGGATCATTTGTCCATTCATTGTCTGGAGATACCTCCTAACTTCTCTGGTTTCTGTGGGACAGTTGGAAACCCCAGAGCTTCTTCAAGACCCTCTGTTGCTTCTATCTGTGCATTTCTTAATGAAGAGCTGTGGTGCGGGGCATGTATTGGTGGACATATAGAAGGGTGTGAAGTATTTTATATTAGAGACACCTAGTTAAGTGTTGAGAGGTGATAATTTATCATACTGGAGGTTTCTTGAAAAGTTTCAACTTTAAATTAACAAAATGATTTTTCTTGAACAAACAGAAACTTTAAACTATAGGCATTGAGATTTTTGATTTCTAAGAAATCAAAGTTGGCATTACTCAAGTCAGTTAAATATCTATCATTCAAAGTCTCTTCTTTATTTCCAGTGTGGTGAATGAATTTTCCTGAAGTTGGAAGGAAACTCAAATCACACTCAGCCCTTGAGCAGCATGGGTCCCCTTACATGCAGATTTTTTAAATAAATATATTGGAAAAATTTTTTGATATTGGCCACAATTTGAAAAAACTCAAAGACAAAGTATGTAATCACGAAATATCAAAAAAATGAAGGGCAAGTTAGGTATGTCGTGAATGCACAAAATATCTGCAGATACTGGTCTATTTCATTATTTACTACCATAAAGTCAAGGGTAGCTGATTAGTAGTTAAGTTTTGGGCAGTCAAAATTTAGGCCCAGATTTATGACTACTCAGATCCATGTCTCTAACCCCTGCATTATTCAAGGTATTTAATTTCACCTCTTCTTTTTACATAGGCAGAAGAGGTTAAGCCATTTACATAAAGATACCCAGTGAGTCATACAAAAGACATTTCCAAAAAGAGGGCATGCTGAAATGATGGGAGGCTAATGTTAACCTTGCATTTCCTGTCAGAAGGTTTGTGTTTCCTTCAGTTAAAAAGAGGGCTTGATTTATTATAAAAATATGACCTAAGCAATAGTAAAACCACACTAAATTTTTGAAAACCTAGTGAGTCAGAGCAAGGTAGCTCATGAGAATACCACGTGCAATACCACAAAGTGACCTGGTCTCACTGAAAATCTCTAAGCAAGATCATCTCGATACATTATTTATGTTGGTGTTCATTAGAGGTCACTTATTAAAAAAGCATTTTGTCTTTTTTTCCAGTATTATTTTCAGAAAGTGAACATTGCCTGGTTTAATAATCCCTGAATTTTCTCTCATGTTTTAAATCTTTTTTACATTCTGAAGGTAAGTCAATAACTTGGATTTAGTTAACAAAAATGTATTAATCACCAGCATGCATTCAAACACTTAGTTCTAGAAACTCTTTTTATTGCCTAGAAGGGCAATGAGGAAATGAAAATTCTAACATAAGTTTTTCTTTTGGTTACTAAAAGTATGTTGATTAAACCAGTGGAAAATTTGTATATTTTAAGTCACAGTTAAAATTCTGTTTTGTTTTTTATCTAAATGACAAAATTGGACTGGCTGTTCCATAAAAACTTAAGTTTGAGTATTTGTTATTTATAATAATTAGCTTCATTTTAGTATCAAAAAGAATAGAATTAGTAAATATTTATGACATGTTTATGATGATTTGTGGCCCAACCTGTATATTTGTAATATTATAACATTAAGTATATGGCAATTTGATTTCACTGAAGCTTGGAACAATTATTTTTCCAGACATAGCTTAGGGCTAAAAGACAATTCAGAAGGGATTCATCCGACTGTTCTAAGATGCCACTGGATCTGAAATTCACAGCTTGGTGAATGCTCACTTACTGCAGAGGCATTAGTGTTTTACTTTAAAAAATATATTTTTTATTTATTTTTAAATTATTTGTTATTTATTTATTTACTTAAATTTTATTTTTTAAATATTTCCAATTTATTTTCCTAAATCTTATCTTTCTTAATTGAACTTAAAAAAAAAAAGAGAAAGCCATATCTTATCTTAGGCTAAATGTAGACAGATATCATGTTGTAGAGAACCAGGCCATCCTAGGAATACTGCTTTTACATTTTCTAAACTGAAATATCGTATCCCAAAACATTTAGATTATCATCTTCTCTTTTCTCCTACTCATTCCCTGGCTAATTAAGGTATAATTACCTGTGGGGTTTTATTTTTATGATGAAATTCATAACCTCTTTAAAATTTGGCAAGGTTTGATGACTGGGAGACAACAGAGTTTTGCATAAATTTCTACAATATTGATTATACAATAGTGAAAATTCTTTGTCTCACTGTATGCTGGACTTGCCTGCACATTTCCCCCTCATTATTTTGGCAGGACAGAAATATTTGACTGTCAGCAGTGTAGTATTAAAATAATTTGACCTTCACTGTATACCCTTGAAAATGTGAATGGACATTTGGACTTTGTGTTTTGTAATTGCCTACAGATGCCTTATCCTATAAATCAGAAGGACAAGTTTTTTATCATTATGTTCTTAAATAAATAAATAAATAAATAAATAAATAAATAAATAAATAAGTGAGTGAGTGAGTGAGTGAGTGAGTGAGTGAGTGAGTGAGTGAGTAATGAGTGAGTGAGTGAGTGAGTGAGTGAGTGAGTAAGAAAGAAAGTAAGTAAGTAAGGTAACCATTTTCCCTACTGGTAAGTAAATATTTAAATATAGCTGAAAGGAGTTGATTTTTTCTGAGAAGGCATCATGTTAGAAATATGTTAGAAAAAATTATATTTAGGGAAACAGCATACCCTGACTTTTGGCTAAACAGAGGGTAATCAGCAAAGTGCCAGGTGAAAATAGCACACATGCAAAAATAGGATAAGAACAAATTTCACTTCCTGAGATTTCATGCTGTGATTAAGCTGCTTAAATATGTGTTTTCTATCATCCCTCCTTTTTTTAAAGGAATGACTTCTTTTAAAGAATTATGTCCTTGAAACGTCTGGAAAATTGTCATATTGAAAATCTGTGATTCCCATGAACTGCAAAAGGGTCTTTCTCATGGTGTCACATACAGACTTATAAAAACTTATTTTTGGCGTCAATAACCTAAGTTCCCTGTAGAGATGGAAAATAATTCCCACTTGTTTTTCCTTCATGACTGCCACCCTCTCTGCCTCCCGCCCCCCACCTTCCACCAGCCATCACCAATGTGACTGTGCCTGGTCATTAGTCCAACAGAACGATTTAATTTCATATGTGTCTAGGGCTTACCTGTGCACCATTTGTGTGAGGTTCTTTTAAATAGAACAGAACGGGGCTGTTTGCAAATCTGTAACTTGGTCAGGGCAAAGGCAGTTTTCATTGGAGGATGTGGATGTTGACTTCTGTGACCAATCCAATGACACAGTGATTAGAAAAGATGGCATTTCACTCTTCATTTCTACATGGAAATATGTTCAAGAAGGCAGAGTGATTTACTGATTCAGTGAGGGGCTAAGAGGCACCCAACAAATCTGTGGACCTCCTAGTTCTGTGATTACATCCTTAGACGCTTATGTGTCTGCAGATGTGCTTGTGGGTTGTTTTGTTTTTATTTTAAACATGAGGGATGCTTTCATAGAATTTTCTGTGACTTCTGGGCCAGGGGTGATGCAGCCCCAGCCAGCGTAGGGGTGCTGCCGGCGAATGCCAAGTGCTGTTACTCTGTCACACTCCACCTCCTTCATTGGCCAGCTGGGTGCAGAACAGCACTGCGGGCTGATTGCACTGTGTGCAGTCGGCCTTTATAGATGGCAGCTTCCTTCCCTTTAGCAGGAGCGATTTTATTCCTCTTCATTGAGGGATATTCATTTAGCATTCTTGTGACCTTGACAGATTGGCAGGTCCCTGGAGTATTTTTAGATGAGATGAGGTTAGATCTGTGAAGCTGAGCGGTTTCAGGGGATTGGTCGATGGTAAGTTTGTATCATCTGAGCGATGTGAAACCAATTTCTGAAAGGAGTCTTTGCTGCCTTCTTAAGGGTGGAAAAAAGGGTTTGGTTTTGATTTTTTTGTAGGTTCAGAAATGATGTGGGATATTTAAGGACTTGATCTCATTAGACTCATTCCTAACCCAAGTATATCTGCTGTTCTGTGATGCCAAGCAGGACCTGCAAGGTATTTGGTGTTTGCATTGGAGCATCCTGGCATCCCAGCAAGATGAGCTGCAGCATTGCAGAGTGTCAACATAAACGATTTAAAAAATTTCATCCAGCATTTACTGATTCCTTACATTATACCTGGCATTCTGCTGGGCACCAAGAAGACACGGTCTTGTCCATCTGAGAGCCCACAGGCTTGTAGAAGAAGGCAAACATGTGAGCTGATGGATACCATGAGAGACCATCTGCAGGACTACAGAGAAAAATGTGGTCCATCTCTCTGGGTATTAGATCAGAGTGGAAAATGTGGGGGAAACCTCAAAAGGTGTTAGAGAGGAGGTGAGGCTTGGATTAAGTCTAGAAATATGCATCAGCAGGACAAGAGGACAACATTGGAGACTAGCATAACAGCAGGGCAAGAGCTAAACAAGTTTTGGGACTGAACTGCTTGGTACACTCTGGGGACCGCAAGCAGCAGTAGCATGGCCTGAGGATGAAGTGGTGGGCGTTTGGAGAGAAGGTGCTGGAGAAATAGACCCAAGTCCCTTGCTGTGGAGACTGTACCCTGTGGTTCCTCAGGAGCTGTTGCAAATGTTTAAGCTGGTGGGGGACATAGTGAAGTTTATCTTGTGGTAGCTCTGTAAAGGATGATCAGAGGGGACTGACAGGAGGAACCAATCTAGGAGACCACTGGAGTGTCTAACAGAGACGACGCTGGTCTGGGTGACAGCAGTAGCTGGGTGGTGGCGTGGACAGCAGGGCAGAGCAGCAGAGGCAACAAGAAGAGTGGGATTAGGGGAGACAGTAAGGAGAGGTAGGATTATAAATATCATAGCTTCATTTTGCCTGTGTCAGGGTATTTCTAATCAATGATTAATAGAGTATTTGTCTTTCAAAGCAGAAAAAAAAATAAAAACATCTGCAAACCCCACAGTCTGCTTATAAAATGTATTTAAAGGTGTTCAGGTTCAAAGTTTCCAGCTCTCCAGTAAATGCACTGTTTTAAATAAATAGTACACCCAAATAATGCATTAATGTTGATAGTTTTTCACTGTAAAACGTGAGCGGTAAGTAGGATATGTTCTCTGTTTGAGGCTCTGTGGGGCATTGGCTTAATAGGGCTGGCAATTTGTTCTGAGGGTTGACTCTGGTTTTTGCATGCCTTGGAGAACTGACTCAACTTTCCTGAGGCTCATTTTTCTGAATGGTAAGTAGTAGGCTAATAATATTGCCTCATTGGTTTGTTATGAGAATTAATTACGACTGAATCATCTGAAAGTGGCAGCCCATGAGGTTGGCAAAGGGGCTACTAGAATGCTAACATCCTTCTTTTCTCCCTTTTTCTCTCCTCAGAGGATGTTTGAAACATTGCATTTTGTTTTTCTTCTCTGTGCTAAGCCTTAGTTGGCTATTGACTTGGAGACCAGAATAAAAATGTACCTGTGTAGTTGTCCTCATGCTTAAATTCCTCAAGGAAATTTCACATGAAATGCTTGATTTCCTGGAAAAAAACATTTATTATTTCTGTCTCTGCTTTCCATACAGGATGTCAGCTGCAACGAGATCACAGCCTTGCCCCAGCAGATAGGTCAATTGAAATCGCTCCGAGAACTGAATGTCAGAAGAAATTACCTTAAAGTTTTACCACAAGGTAAGAGAGAAAGAGTAGAAAAATGAATAAATTGGGAGATGGTCATTATTTTGTTGTTTATTTTTGTGAAGAAGGTAGATCTAGTCATGTCCGCGTCTGCCTATTACTTTAATTATAATTTGAATTTCACATGCTTATCACAGAAAAGTTGTATTCAAGTTTGATTTTAGTCTAGGGGTACAGCAACAAAATCATTCCCCTGGGTAAAGCTCTGTGTGGTGTGTGTGTGTATTAGTTTGCTCAGGCTCCCATAACAAAACCACAGACTGAGTGGCTTAAACAGCAGAAATGCATTTTCTCATAGTTCTGGAGGCTGGAAGTCGGCAGGGTTGGTTTCCGCCGGGGCCTCTCTCCTTGGCTTGAAGATGGCCCCCTTCAGGGATCCCGGTGTCTTCCTTCTGTGTCTGTGTTCTAATCTCTTCTTCTGAGGACACCAGTCATACTGGATTAGGGTCCCCACCCTAAATGCCTCATTTTAACCTAATTTCTCTTTTAAGGGCCCTATCTGCAGGTATAGTCACATTCCAGGGTACTGGGAGTTAGGACTCCCAACATAGGATTTTTAGGAGCATACAATTCAGCTCAAAGCAGGAGGCAGCATAAATTTTTTTTTTGTATATATGTGTGATGTTTTGGAGCATTGAGAGAACAGTTTAGGTGACATGCTTGGTCCTACAGATCTGGCTGTTAGGGTTTCTGGCTTAGGGGATCTGGAAGCCCCAGTTAGGAGCCACACCACTGTGTCTAGAATCTATGCTTCAGGCAAGGGCACTGCCTCTGCTGAGGTGACACTTGGACTAATGTCACCCGTTGTCTTGGTGAATTTCTTGAAAGATGGAAACAAGGATGTCTTCATGTAGCCCTGCTGTAGAGCCGGAGTCTCACAAACTGTTCCCTACAGCCATGGGCTTCAACAGCATGTCCATCTGATACATTGTGTTGGAGTTCAAATGAAAAGATATTCAGAAATTTTGTACCATTAAGAACTTTGACAGGTGGCCTTGTGGACAGTGATGGATTTGAATTATGAGATTTTTATTTATTTATTTTGAGATTTGAGTTTTGGACCTGAAATAAGAATGAATTGATGAGCCGTAGAACACTGAATGCTTTCTCCAGAACATACTCTGATTATCTGAGATTACATTGATATCTGTTATTTTCATTTGGGGACACTAGGCATACCCAGTTTCAAACATTTATTTAAAAATATACCTCAAAGCAAAATCATATTATTTGGAAACAGCATTTGGTTAATCTGATTCTAATGTAGCTCTTTACAAGCTGCCTGATTTTTATCATTGTGCTCCTGTCTTGATATGCTTCATTATTCAAGGCAAGCAAATGGAACTCATAAAAGGGAAAGAACTTCCTAAATGTAATGTGCCTCACTAATGGGAGGTTTAAGAGTCTGCTGGCCATCTTTACCTTTTTCATGCTGACTAGCATTTTAAAGAAGTAGAATTGGCAACTGTCTCAGTCTAAAGATTTATTACTTTCTTACTTGAGATGACTTGATATAAAGACACTGATTTTTCGATTTGTCATTATGCAATCCCATTGCTTTTCTTGGTTTGGGCAAGTACATTGGGGACACTCACAAACAGCAAATTTATAAGCATATAAACTTTCATAGCATTAAAGAAAAATCTTCATTTAAATTTAAGCTCTCACATTAATCATTCAGAATCATGACAAATCATTGAACTCTCACTTTTGGAAGAAAAATTGAATTTCCATGTTTACCAGTTGCCTGTAACAGTCCAGAAACAGGTGGAAAGAAAATGCACCTACAAAAGCTCAGTTTCTGTTTCTCCCACGACTCCTCACTCTCTTGCCCGAAGAGCACTCCTTTTCCTAAAAAGATCAGTTACAAATTTCTGTACTTTCCATAATTATGTTTTCTCAGGTTCAGTATTTTAAAATACACTCAGAGTTACTTCAGTTTACTGGAAAAAATTATTTTAATAACTTCCTGAATATCAAGTTTCTTTTTTGCTTCACTCTGGAGAACTCCACTAACAAAAGAGCATTGATAGGACTTCCAGGCAGTGAATGTGAAGACTTTCCATATTTACTTACTTGTTTTTCTGCTGTGAGTACCCCTACTCATATGCTTTCAATTTGAGGAGTTACAAAAAACATCTGTGGCCTAATTACCCATATCACTTCTGTTGTGGTCTTACTATACCTAGTGCAGTGAGGAGACCATATTTTGTTCTTTCCAGGACCAGAGTGGGCAGAGGATTAAAATAGCCATTCATTGGCACTCTTTGCAACAGAGACAGAGAAATGAGATTTCTTTTTTCTTTTCTTATCCCCTTTTTCTGCTCTGTTTCTTTCGCCCTTTTCTGGGCTGGAGTTACCATTTTCTTGTTGTGAAACTTCCAGGCTTTACTTTTCCTAAGATGCTCACTATGTTCCAAGCTGGAACTAAAGGGAATAGTCATCATGAAAACTATTCCTTACTTTATTTACCTGTAAGTTGCCTCTCCAACCCTCCACTGTCTTCCAGGCACTTAGCCCTCTAGTCTTGCTTTAAAGTCTTCATTTTAAGTGGCAAAGAATTGCAGAATATCCAGAGTCCAGTTATATTTTGGCCTTGATTTGCCAATCTTAACTTCCATGAGCAAAGTTAGCCATCTCAGAGATGGGTTCATATTACTAGGGGTTATAGCAAGAATATGTTCCTCATACATAATTCCTGTAATTCCTACCCCCGTTTTAGATGCAAACTGTGAAGTGAACTGGGATCTTACTTCCCCTTTTCCTTTGACTTGATTCCATGCTGTCCTGCAGGCTTACCTCCTCCCTCTCCTCCATGCCTGCTGCTCCTAGGCAACCTCCAGGACTAGCAGGGCCTAAGACAAACTGGGACGGAGGAAAAGGGTTTGAGCAGTGAATCACTCGCGGTGATTTAGAAAATATACTTCCTGAGTGTCTCTTACCCAGCTGCCTGTGATGGACCTGAGTTTGGGACCCACTAATCTCCCACTGTTCTAGCATGTCAGTCCCATGACTCCCTTCTTTAATACAAAGTAATTCTCTCAGGTAGCCAAGAAAAGTCTCTTACATGCCCAGAGCTGGTTCAGTATGCACATGAGCTGCCTGCTGTTAAGGCAGCTTTATTGGTGGAGTTTGAAGTAGCAGAGCTGAGTGAGGTGAACACCCTCCGGCAGTCTAGGGGGAGGGAAAGAATGCTGTTGATTCATACTTCGGGTCACTTCCTAGGTTCCTGCTCTCCCTCGGCTGTGGAACTCCTCGAGTATTTGCAAGCGGCCTGTCCCCCATTACTGGATCCCACAACAAACTGGGCCAGGCCCATTCTGAAATGAACCCTCCAGAGCCACTCACTCAGAGATCTTAGTGGTTTGTCCCATGTCACCCTGCATGTGTAGCGTTGCTCAGCCTCTTTGTTCTGTAGAACATATTTGATTTCATTTCTTGCAGCTGCCAATGTCGGTTGGAATGCTTGAAATTACTGAGTGTTTACTATTCCATTGGGTGGGGATTTTAAGATAAATATAATGCTCTGTCTTGTTTGTGGAGCTACAGAAGACTTTAAAAGCAATAGAATAATGCCTTATCAAATCGGGATTACAGGATCTGTGGCAAAATTCTGAACTAGATAGCATTTATTTTTTAAAGTGGAGTGAAAAAACTCACAAACCTGTTCTTTGTAACTAGTTCTGAGTTTATGCCAGCCCAGATACACTGAATAAATAAGAATATTTTATAATTAGCATATCATTCATATGCTAGCAAGTACTGCTTGAAAACAGTTTGAGGTTAAAACCTACGCTTGTCTGTCTGGAGAGGCTTATGTGATTGTTATGCTGGAAAAAAGCCTTTTTAAACAATAGCAATGGCAAATGTCAAGTGTTTCCAGTTCTTATCAGAACTAACAACAATTTAAAATTATTGTGCTCCCCATGAAAGAGTTCCCCTTCCGCTTTGGTAAAATATTATTTATACACATGCCATATATTCCTAATGTACAACTTGCTTTTGATTTTGCTAAGTGACATTTTTCCTGAGAAAGAGAGAATTATTTTTGAATGTTTAGCCATTTAATCTTAACTGCTTTCTGAGTTTGTTCTTTCTTTTCTTTTCTTTCTTTTTTTTTTTTTTGTCTTATTCTTTTAGAACTAGTAGATCTTCCCTTGGTAAAGTTTGACTTTTCCTGCAATAAAGTGCTCGTGATTCCCATTTGTTTTAGAGAGATGAAGCAGCTGCAAATATTACTACTCGAGAATAACCCTTTGCAGTCTCCTCCAGCACAGGTGAGAGGTCTTGCAGTGAAGCTGTTGCACTGTGAGATATGCTGTGAATAGTGCGGAGGCAACTCTTAGCAAAGCCAGCATTTGGGTACTCTGCTGAATTAACAGGGTGTTAGACATACTCATAAGCAGTCACACTCTCTAAAAAGATGAAACTTAGGGTGAATCTGACTATAGTAAACTGCCTTCTGCTACATCAAGTCCCCTTAGCAGCATTTGGCTCACTGTTCTCATCATTATAATCCTGGAATTATATATTTGATTAGTTTATCATTTATATATGCAGCTGAAACTTTTTCATGGAGTGTGTGGCTTATTGAAGAAGTAATATATTCCTTTAACGTTAGCTGGAAAATGGAGTTTAAAAAATTTACAAAATGATTATTGGTTAGAGAGACAAAATTTAAGCTCAAATATTAAACTGTATGAGAACAAAATGAAGTATATATGCTTCCAGAATTGGAATGTTACCAAGTCAGTTATATGACTTCTATACTTTTTACACTCCTTATAACAAAAAACATGTTTGTTAGGAATTTGCAGTTTTTTTGCAAGAAAAACTAGAAATTGTTTGAACATGGTTTTCTGTGAAAAGTAGAATCTGGAGGAAATAATTGCCTAAATTCTTCTGTTTTGGAGAGGTCAGATTTGATGTGCATTGTTGGTGTTACTTAAAATGAAAATACAAAAAATAAAATATGCAGATTAGCTGTCTAGTGTTTAGAATTTGTTCTGCCATTATAAAATGCATATGTATTAATTTCTCCATAGATTTGCACAAAGGGGAAAGTGCACATATTCAAGTATCTGAGCATACAAGCATGCCAAATTAAGACAACTGACTCCCTTTATCTCCACACAATGGAGAGGCCACATTTACACCAGCACGTGGAAGACAGGTGAGTATGACCCTTGCTCAAAGCCCCTGCTTAGAATTTCCTTAGGCCAATTGGAGGCAGGTAACTACCTCCAAAAAACCCTTTGCATTGCTCAATGCAGATTTATAACTCAGAGTTGCAGCACTTTATGGTTTAAGAAAGAGAAAATTGATGTTGGTAACATTTTGACATCTCAAATCTCATCTTTCCTTTCCTAATCAATAATCTGTTCTTCCTGAGTGCTATATGTGTGTGTGTGTGCACACACATACATAGACACACATGTGTGTATATGTATCTTTATAAATAAGACCTACAATTAAAATATAGGTATTATTTTATTCATCAGTTAAAATAACCATATCAAGCTCAGACAAGCCTTTTTTATTACTGATTTTTAATATGCCTCTGGAACATTATTAAGAAAAATGGCAGGCTTTATTTTTTAATTGTCTTATAAAAATGCAGTGTCGTAGTTTTTGCCATTTCCTGTTCAGAATGGAAGTGTTAGAATCCTTTCACGCGTCCTTGGCCTTTTTGTGGCATAAATTGGGGCCTTGAATTTTCAGAGAACAAAATTCCCACATTGAGCACACTTATAGAAACACAGGTTGTTTTGGAGAAGTCTTCACCACAGAAATCTTTCCTTAAACTTTACTAGAGAAGTAAACATGGTGATTTAAAAGTTCAGCATACCCTAATGGTATCTTTTTGTAATGTTTAAAATATGTATTCATTATTTTATTTTTGTAAACATACTGTCACATTTATTTAGTCACTGGATAAAGGTTTATAGAATCATTGAAAGTAACCTAAAAAGTAAAAGTAACATAAGAGGTAAAAGCAATTAGGGAGTTTTGGCTTTTTTATATGCTGGAAGCAATAAAATAGAAAAGATGCTATTTCAAGGGACAGGCCACTTGGTTAGAGTATAAACCAGGAAATCCTAAACACAAAGAATTTATCTTGTACTTTCTTTAGACGGTACAAGTGTCTGACTTCCATTAGGCCCTTGTCTTAACATCCTTTAGTACTGGGCTGATTTGTTGCCTTATGGTAATAATTAAAATTTGTATAGCAAAAGTCATTATTCGAATATAAATTGTATCTTGTTAACTTTGTGATTTTAATTTTTTTCTAAATTAATTCAATACTGATGGCATCTAACCCAGCAAGAAGGATTCTGATTCAGGTGTTGGAAGTGATAATGGAGATAAACGATTATCTGCTACAGAGGTAAAATTAGTGATCAGATTTTTTTCCTTCTGTGTTTCTAGATATATCTGTCTGCATTTGTTGAAATCTTCTTTGGTAAAGGGCATTAATGCATCTGCATGAGAATAGGCAATTATGTTTGTTAAAGCAATTTGAAATCCTCCAAGTTGTTATATAAACATTAGCTGTTGTTAGCTTTTCCTGCATCTTTAATATTTTGTAAATATCTCAAGAGTAGAGTCCCTATCTTCTTCCCCTCTTACCACACTCCTAACATTATCTAGAATATTTTTGAATGCTTAATAAATATTATGAAATGACTAAGTGGTGTGCAATTACCCATGAGGCATTTTTATAATTGATTTTTTTATTTTTAAGCAACAGAGAATTTAGGAAAAAGTTGTTATATGCATACATAAATGTTAAAGGAATAACATAAATGTTAAATGTTGATTGCATTTTAGCAGTTTTCTTACAGGAAATACATTTTTGAGTAGCCATAATTTTTATAGCAATATTTGTTCTCCTGATCGTGTTCTTTTTAGATGATTAGATGAGAGTTTTGTTATTTGTAAACTGAGAGCTTCCCACACTCAAGCTTCCTAAAGTGGTCATAAATAACTCATTTAGCACATTTATTGTCTCATTTATAATCTATTTAGTAGATTCTCTGAAATCGTTCACTAATATATGATTAAATGGGGTTTCTTGAACTGGGGAGCCAGAAGGGATAGCTGGGGTAGGGGATGGATGCATCATCATGCCTTCATTTTGAGGAAATTCATTGAGATTTTGTAGTTATTGAGTTTTGAAACATTATAATATTCTTTGAAGATGAAATTAAATAGGTCAATTGCCCCATTTAAGGAATCCACATTGGCACTATGTGTGACTTCAGGGAAAATACCTTTTTCCTGTATTCTTTCATGTGTGGCTAAGATATTTGCATTTATTTTCCACAAAATGATTTATAAAACAATGTTTTTTTAAAAAATCAGGATGAAGTCTTTCTAATACATAACATTTCAAAAGGAAGAAGAGTTATTAAGTAGAAAAAGAAGGCCAATATCAATAAAGAAAATTACCCTCCTGAAGCCACATGAATAGGAACTATGAATTCCCTGGGGGGAAAATGCTTAACACATTGCTTTATAAGTTGTATTTAGTTCAACCTCCTTAGCTTTATTAAAACTCATAAGTCCCCTGAAATGTCCCATTGTTTCAGAAATTACTCACCCTAAGCCTATTTTCTATTAAATTAAAACAGACTCTGCTTTATCCTTGATCTATCTTCTAAGGATAATTAAGTTCATTAATAAAACATTACACAAAGAACTTCATTATCCTTTTGTTCTCACAGAGTATAAGTAGGATGCTAATACCATTCTAAAACGGGGCCAAGGGTTCATTCTCTCCCTTTTACTAGATGCGTGTCTTTGGAATTTTGCTAAATTTTTAAGACAGGAGGCGGGTAGAAAGAAGGACTATTGGAAGGATTATATTCAATAGCATAAAGTGCAAATAAATCTTCCCGTTTGTCTTTTTGTCTCACACTGTAACTTCAAGGAAGAACCACTCCAATTAATTTGTTTTTTAGAAGGACAAGTGTTCTGAACTATCCTATGTAGCTTCCTGTTTTCACTCCCTTTTACCATCTATGGTCAGTAGATCTTGCTCCCCACTTCCGTCTCATTGTGGGGTTCAGAAATCACACCTCTCTCCCTCTTTTTGGCTGTTGCCATTGCCTGACTGATTTAGCAGTTGTCACTAGAAAGTGTAAAACATTTTTCTAAACTTATGCAAAAAATTGGGGGCTCAATGAATATCTGTTTAATGTATGAAATGCACACGTTTTCTGCCATTTTTTAAACAAATTGTGCATATGTCCCCAAGTAAACAAATACTGTATTCTAGAAGTCATAGCCTCAAGAATTTAGGAGCAAGCCACAATCACCTGAAATGTGTTCTGTGGAGTTTCCTGATCTCTGTGCTTTGGAAAGCTTTACACTAAATACCAACATTAAAATGGAGACACAGGGATATAAATGAGGCTCCATATTTCATTGTGAGAGAATCATAGATGATCTGAATAAGCTTTGTCAGCTAGTGTGGGAAACAAGACCCCCAGAAAGAATGTACCCTGATTACTAAATCAAAGCCTTATTCTGAAAATTGCACAGAAAATGTTCCTTTAAGTAGCACAATCCTTTAGCACTTTTATATATATGTAATGCAGCTTCCTCCAGCTAAAACAGGGACACAAACTCAAGCTTAATGCTGCACATACGATGCACTGTAAATAAAGGAGATATTGACATGAGGTTCACTGCCTGCGTTCTGGCTACATGAAACCTTAATAACAGTTTTGGTCAGTGTTGTCACAGATCTCAGCGTACTGTGACTATTAGAATGATTAATTAGACTCAGGGCCAGTGCCGTAGTGTATTTACAATTATTCCTTTGTTCTGTCAGTTATTGCCCAGTCTGTCCTAGTTCCGACTATGGCTCTTAGGCTAGAAAATATCATTAGCTACCTGATAAAATTTTACCTCAAAATATATGCACAGAGAAGTATATGTGTGTTCATTCCATGAATTTGGACAAAGTGAATACACTTGTATCACCAGCTTCGAGTTCAAGAAACTTTGCCAGCACCCAGAAAACCCCACTGAGGTGCACACCCCTGACCCAAGAGCAGCCACTATCCTGACTTCAAATGCCATGGATTAGTTTTCCTGGCTTTTGAATTCATATATAAATGAATTGTCTTTGTATCTGGCATTTCTTACTCAATATTATGTTTTGGCAAATCACAATAATTTTTTTTATCATGTAGCAGTCTCCTGATCTACACTGATAAGCCTTCTCCCTTGAATGAAGCAGTCACTGTTTCTTTTTAGCCTTCTGATGAAGACACTGTTAGCCTCAATGTGCCCATGTCAAATATCATGGAAGAGGAACAGATCATCAAGGAGGACTCACACCATCGCCTTAGCCCAGTTAAAGGTCTGAGAATGAAAGATGGGGAGAAAGTTCTTGTTTTTAAGTTTCAAGTGCTATGTTTACAATATGCCCAAATATGGGAGTGATAGTAGTGTTTACTGAGCATTTCCAATGCACCAGGCACTGTACTAATCCACGAATGTGATCTGATCTAAATTTCAAAACTCTGAGATGGATACTATAATCGTCTCCATTTTATAGGTGAGAAAACTGAGGCTCTGAGAGTTTAAGTTGCCAGTGGTCGCCCAGATAGCTAGTAAGTAGTAGAGCTATTCTTATTCTGAAGATTTATACAACATTCTTTAAATCCATTCTTGGGATGAAAATATTGATATATATATATATAGAGAGAGAGATCATTAAGACAACACTAGCTGCTGAGCACATAAAATCCCCAAATCTCATTGGCTTAACTCAATCCAAATTATTGATTGAAAGGCAACTCCCCTCCAAGTAACCATTCAAGGACTCAAGGTCCTTCCACCCTGTTACTCCACTATCTTTAACACAAGACTTCCAAAGTTTCCAATCTGTCCATTTCAAGCCAAAAGGGGAAGGACATGGGGGTTTGCTCAAAGGAGGTTTTAATGGACTGAGTCTAGGAGAGCCCATCACTACCAAGCTAGACTTGATTCCTTGGCCACATCTAACTAATGCAAGGCTGAGATATGTGCCCAGGCACCTATTTGACTTTGGACAAGATATTGACTTGAATTCTCTCTGCTGTAAATGAGATGATTAGATTAGGCCTTCTGTAATCTAGTCTCTGAGGTCATCTGTGACTCTATGGTTCTGTGGTTCTTTAATCAATACTTGATGATCACTAAGCACTCTTTGTCTTATATACCTTGAAAAAAACAGTAGTGTACTTCATATGTGGTGAGAAGCCGTCATTTGATGACATTATGGTAGGTTTTGTTTTTTTTTTTTACTGTTTCTGTTTACTCAGTGACTTACAGAAACTACTAAAATCTAATGTTTACTGATTTGTGACAGAGATGATTTCATGACACACGAAAGGTACAGAACTAGATTAATATGAGATTATCTCCCTAATACTTTGAATATGCTCTTATTAGTGATGGAAGAGCTGTTTGAACAAATACGAATTCTAGTGCTTGCTTTCATTTCTTACTGTTAAGTTTTTAAGTTTAGCATTTATGCTTTTCTGAGATTATGATTAGAGCCACACATTGTCCAAAAATATAACTGAATAATTTATGCAAAAAATAACTGCCACTTTATTTATATAAGCTTTATAACCCTATGCAGTATAGGAGGTAGTGTTTTATGCAAATTTTTAAAACAAAAGAATGTGGGGAAACTGGAAGTTCCAATGGCCAGGATCCTCATTTGACCCTAAATTACTTGATGATGTAATTGTCTTGCTTCTAGGCTAATGCTTCCACACATACAGGCAATGATCTATTATTGACTGAGTCACTATATAAAGAGCTCTGCCGACTGCTCTGGATGCAGGCAGAGATGGAGGATTACACACCTGCAGACTGCTGGATGCAGATGTGATTCTAGTGCTTGACCTACCACCGGGAGAATAAAGCAGGGTATAAACCCTTTTACCCCAAGAACACTCCACTGTCATTTCTCAGTCTCACTGAATCCATAGTGAATTTACTTGGGGCCAAAACCCTCACACAAGACAAAGAGCTCTGTAATTTGTTACTAGATTTTCTAGAAGTGGGTGTTGTGCTGGGTAAGAGTCCTTAAAGGTGACCCTGCTTCATCCTTTTTAGTTTCCACGTCAGTGGGAAGAGATCAGCTTGGTGTCCCTTTTGTCTCTCCACATCTGGCACACAGTCTACTTGGATGTGCTCTGAGAATGCTCCGGCTCCATGTGGCCTTTATCACATCATTGTCACTTCTTCTGTTGTTTTGACTTGGGGTTTTTGTTTCAGTTCCTTTCCACACTCTTCCTTGAAATTGTTTACCACTTAATGACATGAGTTGAGGGTTGACTGATTTTTTAATTCCTAAAATATTTAGTGTAATATCTGCCACTTAGTAGTTGTTCAATAAATATTTGTTGAATTTTGAATTTGAAATAGTTACTTGTCACACATTACTGAGAGCCCATGAGTCCTCTTTTATACTCTCTTTTCTCTACTCCTTAAAAAAGTTAGAGGAAATTTCATTTTTCTCATTAGGAACTGAGCCATAAGGAGGCTTTGATTTTCAAGTTCAGTTTGGACTTTTCCATTTTTTTGACTTTTCTTCCTCCTTTTTTCATCTTTTTCTCACACCCTTAACAGAATGACCCTTAAGGTCTTTCACAGACCTCTAGAGGTAACAGAGGAGACTGACATGATCAGATGATATATTTGAGGATCATCTGTGTTTTGCTCATCTGCTCATAAAATCATCTTTCTGCTTTTCTCTGTACTTTCATAATAGGGGGATTTCATCAACTGGATCCTTCCCTTTTGGGTGACAATGAAACCTCAGGAGAAGAGAGAGCCCAATTTACTGGTGGAAGAGCTGTTCTCCATTCAGAATTCATAAACTATATTAAGGCAAGTTGAGGATCAACTATTTTTTTAAATTTACTTCTGTTTGGTACCTTAGAATTTAAAGTTACCAACCAGTCACCTTAATGTCAGCTTACTGCCCATTTCTCAGGCCTTTATGACATCATCTATTTTCTGGATGATGGAGCTGGTCCCTGCCATACATACCTCTCATTTGTCTGCATATGAGTTTGTTTTTCTTTTGTATTCAGTAATTGGTCAGCTTTCCACTACTCACTGCTTTATGTAAGTTAGCAAACATCAGAATTACCATTACCATCCAGTGGAAGTTAAACTAGACAGAGTTTCACATTGTTTTCAATTTATCCTAGGTGAATACATTTCTTGGGTGTATATCCATAATATAAAGAGAAAAGTGGGGACTTTGAGACTCTAGAAGTGAACATCTCCCCTTTTTGGAAAGGTCACTCTGAGGACTGTCATTGCTGAGCTCTTGGAGTTGCACTGAGGTGCTGAAAGTGTGGGTGAAGTCACTCAGTTGTCAGGGGAAACTTCATCATTTTAGCAGCAAAAGGAAGAGACGAACTAGCCCCTTCCTAATGCTGGTAGTTAAGGTTCCACTTTGAGGCATAATTAGATGTGTTGGTATGTTTCTGCCAGGCCTTTGGTTCAGGTTGTGGTACCCAAGAATCACAAGGATGATCGTTTTGATAAAATTCATTTTCATATGTCTTGGGAAAGAAGGCAGCCTCTGAGTGATTGTGTTAAAACCAGGCATGGAATCTCTAGGTGCTCATCCTATTTCCAGAGGATTTTATTATAATCATTGTAGTCTGTCTAAATAAGAAAGCAGAGCATGGCCTTGGTCAGCCTCAGCTAGGGCCACACGCATCAGGGACTCAAAGCTGTGCATTCTGCAGAAGTGGGTGCCTGCAAAAGCACCATGCATATTGATTTTCAGGTTGTAAGTAAATTTTAGTGAGTAGGCAAATTTGTGAGAATGGAACCCATAAATTGTGGATAACCATCTAACTTAGCAAAAGAAGCCCAGGAAGCTCTACTTTGCACACTGAAAAATTGATGTTATATGTAGTTGACTACCTTTTATTATGAAACTGAAAATTGGAGCACATATACATGGCTCCTGTGGTTGAAACCCAATAAGAAGAGACAAGAAGATGTTTTCTTTTTTTTTAAGATTTTTTAAAATCATTTTTAGTATCATAGTTTCACCTGTGAATTTCACTGTCATTTGGGGAGTGCTACAGTAATTTATATGTTGACTTTATCACATGCTCAAACTTATAACATAGAAAAAGTCTGAGTGTTTTTCAAGTCAGAGGCTGGCAGCAGGCATCAGGCATCATCAGAAAGAGTCTCAGAAGTGACACATCTGGAGACTTGACTGGGCCTGAGTTAGTTAACACTGTGCAGAACCTTTGCAGTGAAAGCAGTCCTTTTGTCTGTTGTTCCTGCTTGGCCAGGAGAATGTGCCCCCAATTCGGGGATGTCTTCTTTTCTGGCTGTCAGCTGAGTTAAAACAGTGTTTCTCTATGTCAGTGATGAAAAGGAGAAAGAAACGTGGACATTCCAAGGGTGGGACACACCTTTCTAAATTCTCCCATCGCAGTGTTTCTTTGGGGAAATATTTTTGGACTCAGGGGCATTTCAATGAAATCTATAAGTTGTACCCATGAGAGCTATTAGCTGCACTCTGAGTCATTTTCTGTTAAGTATTTTATATTTTCTTTTTCCCCCATTGCCACCACACACACACACACACACACCCTTCCTCTCACAAACAGTAGAGTGTACATTCCCATGTGACTGACGTGCCCCACGGAGGGATTTGCCAGGGTCAGGGTGCGCCAAGAGGGCAGTAAGGGACTGAGTGAAGTCTTAGATTTCCGACCCAAAGTTAACAGATATTAGGGTCCCAGGCCAGGCTTTTTTTTCCTTTAATTTTTAGTTGTAGTAACGTCGTGTTTAACATAAAGCTTGACATTTTTGCCATATTTTAAATGTACAATTCAGTGGTAAGTGCATTCACATTGTTCTGCAACTATCACTGTCATCCATCTCCAGAACTCCCTTCACCTTGTAAAATTAAAGTTCTGCACCCTTTAACTGTAACATCCCAACTCCCCTCCTCTCTCCCCCGCACCACCATTCTGCTTTTAGTCTTTATGGATTTGAGTACCCCAGGTACCTCATATAAGTGAATTCATACAGTATTTGTCATTTGGTGACCAGCTTATTTCACTTAGCATAATATCCTGAAGGTTTCCCACTTTGTAACGTATATCCAGAAATTCCTTCCTTTTTAAGGCCAAATGATATTCCATTGTGCGTGTCTGCCACAGTTAGTTCATTCACACACCCATGGATGGGCACTTGGGTTGTTTCCATCTTCTGACTTGTGAATAATGCTGCTATGAACATGGCCTGGGGCAGGCCTTGACTGCTGACAGTTGATAACCAGAGGCTCTCAGAAGACCTGTGTGTTTGTCCACAGGATCGAGCTGAGGACTGTGAGGAACTATTGCGGATAGAAGAGGACGCACACTGGCAATCTGAGGGGCTGTGAGTACCGCGGGCCTGATGGGGAGCTGCTGTCCTGTAAAGGTCATGTTCAAGCAGAGTGACAGTCCTGTCACGATAGAATTCATCCTCTTTGCTTTGTGCAAGCTGATATTTACCCACAATATTGATAAGCACCTGTGAGTTTTCACTCTGTCAAAGGCTTATTATTGTCACAGTATTGGGACAGTGCAGTGCCAGGTCATACCATTTCCTTAGCCTTGAATTTTATCAGATGTGAGGCTATGGGTAGAATGTAATTCAGGAAATTAGATAGAATTTATAGGCTGGAGATTCTAGCTTGCCCCCATTTTTCTGAAGAAACTGACAACTGGATCTAAGGTGATTTGTAGTCCTGGTCCCGCTTCTTTACCCAGAGCCTTCCTATTCACGATGTGAGAAGACCTTATACCCCTCATATCCTGGTCCTAAGTCTAATAACTATAATAGCTAACATTTAAATACCTGGGGCCAGGCAACGTCCTAAATATTTCACAGGTAGTAACTCATCTTTACAGCAATCCTTTGATATAAGTTCTATTGTTTTCCCCCATTTCACAGATGACAAAACTGAGGCACAGAGAGATATCTTGCCCCAAGGTCATGGAGTGCTGGGATTGAACCCAAGGAATCTCATACCAGTTGGATATCCCATCTCCACTGTTGCATAGAAAGATTTACTTGGCCAGCTTTATGGCAGAGGGTACTGTTAGAGGTTGAGTTTATTCTGCTCAATTCTTGTCCCCACCACAACAAAGAACTGAAGGGTAGAGACACAGTAGTGAAGCAAGGCAAAGTTTCATTTGAATATAGTCCAAGGGAGGAGCCAGCCAGAGTCAAGGTAGGCAAAGGTAGGTTTACTTGAAGAAGGAAGAACAGATTGAGGAAAGGGAAGCTCACTGGACTCCTGCTCAGCATTTGGCAAATCCCTTATTAACTAATAAAGCCAGTGTCACCTGGCATCCAGTGTCTGCTTGAATCTGCACAGCATGGGAACTAAGCCCCCACCATCCCAGGATTTGGGGGAGCCACAGAGCTCTGGATTGAGTGAGATTATGTTCTGAGAACTTCTCAAAGCAAAGAAAGGAGATTTTCAGGCAGGCTACTAAAAAGCATGATGGTGTAGCTGCAGCCCTGTCTGGGTCACCCAGGCGACAGGATCTTGAGCTCTCAGCAGCCCCTCCCTACTTATCTGGAGTAGAACAGAGTGACACACTTAAAGAAAGGTGAGTGTGGGCAACCTCAGAGATGAGGTGCACTTGAGGGTTTAGGGTCTGGGGTTTTATAGGGCTTTTTGGATAGGAGTCAATGTAAGGCATGATATGTACAGGTAATTTATAACTTCTTTGAAGTTTTGTCTTAAGAATAGGGTTATTTTGGTGACTGTATTGGCCTAGATCTCAGCATTCTTTGTCTACGTAGGTTTATTTACACTTCAGAGGTTTGTCTCTTTCCCTGGTTACAAAGTTACTTGATTAAGGTGCTGGAAGAAGAGGAAGAATAGCACATAGATCAAGTTAATAAGCTGGGCCTTTTTACAGACTAAGTAGATTTTACAATGGTGTGATCTAATTGGTACAATGAAGACATGGGCTGAGCTCTGATACTTTTCTTTATCTGGGGAATATCCAGAGGTACCAAGTTGCCCTTGGCCTTTGAAACTCTGACTAATTAACTCATTAACTCTGTGAGTCCTTCCTGGCTCTCTGGTTTTATCTGGTTAACTCTTTGAGTCCCTTCTAGTGGGGTTTACTGGCTTTATTCTCCCTCTACCCCCCTATGTCTACTTTCTAACAGTATGAGTGATGTATCAGACAATGAACCATTTCCAGTGAGAACTGAGTTTTGGCTCTGTGGCATAGAGTAGATTTTTGGTTTCCAGGATTTTATATTCCCTGATCTGGCATGTGGGTCTAGACCTTCCATTTAACCTGAGCCCTTAGTCAGCATTTACTACATTGTTCAAAAGTTTGTCCACTTATGTGGAGAGACATTGGCTTCTTGTTTGTAGTGGAAAGCAGTACCGTTAATCAAATCTCTCTTGCCCTATAAGAACATTGCAAAATTCCTTTGAAGTACTGTCCAATATTAACCACTATCCATTGGATATATCCCTGTGATACTGAGAGGATTAGATTGAGTACAGAATTGTAGAATTATAAATGGAAAAAGTTTTTAACCTATGTAAAGCTTTGAAAACCCCATTTTACATTTTATATCTGTTGTTCCCAACCCTGCCTGTAAATCAGTATCAACTCTAGAGCTTAGCAAAAAGCCCAAGCCTAATCAGACCTATCTGGGAGTAGCAGGCCTGCCATTTTTTTTTTTTTTAATGCCACAGATGATCATAAAGAGCCTGGACTGAGAACTGCTGTCCCAAACTGAAATCCCATATTATATGAAAACAATAAAACAGCCATACTAGTTGAACTGGTGTTGGAAGATCCAAAAGTAGCACAGAGCCCCGCCCCCGAGCTGAGCTCCTCTGGGGAATCCCCCCAGGACTCAGTAAAGCACAGTCTGAGAGCCGCCCAGCTAAGCGCATTGCCTTGATTTCACAAATGAGCAGACAGAGGCCCATGGGCACTGAGACTGTGTGAGCTGCTTTGTAGCAGAGCTGGGCTTCCCCCACCCAGTAGCTCTTCTCCTACACTGGCAACCTGCTCTGCAGGGTACTAACGTGTCTTCATTATAGTGCTGAATTTGCCAAAACCATTTTTATATGTTGAATTTGGCAAAATCTTTTTTATATGTTAGATGGAGTTTATAAGTTTGCTGTTGAAACCTAGATGATATTCATGTTGTAGTGATTGATCATTTTTTCATTCTTCTGCTTGGTCTCATCCTGCAGAATAAGTTCATCCAAAGACCACGACATGGACCTAGAGATGATTGAACAGCTGAGAGAAGCAGTAGATTTGCTGCAGGAACCTAATAGGTATGCATGTCTTTTCTTGGCCTAGGTTTCATGTGTAAATAATACATACTGATTTACTGAGTATATTATCTCACTTTTAAAAATATTTATACAGTTTTGGCTCAGTCTAACCACCAAAAAAGAAAAGTCATTTAACTGCCTGTTTTCCCAAGATCCGTAAGTAAAAGAGCCAAACATCTGTAAGGACTAAGATCAGTTTTCCCTTTCTCCACCCCTTACTGAAAATCATTCACCCTTTATGAAATTCATATAGGAACTTTTTGTACAATTGTTAGAAAACTGAAATATAAATATGGTAAATGTACCAATTATATATTGCTCAAAGGTTAATTCTCTGATTTATAGAAATACCAAGGAGATTTTCCAAAAAGGAAAGAATTCCCTAATTGAGTACTACCAGGTTTATTTCTGATGGTACCAAATATATGTTAGCTGAATAATATATTTCTAAAGATTTGGGTTACAAAATAGTTTTTAAATTGAATTGCCCATTATCAGTAATAGGCACTGCATAGAGTTGATACGTTTTTTGGTTTCTTAGCTAAGCATAAAGGAATTTTCCTGGACAAAATATTTTTTGTAGGATAATATATCTAATATCAGTTCATAACTACTTTATCATTAGAGATATAGATTCAAAGCTTATCTCTGGTAAACTGGTCAGCACTTTAAATATGGAGATGATGTGGCCTTGTGATATGGTGAATATTGAAGTCATACCACATTTCAGGAATTTATGAAAAGGGTGGTCAGTGAGTCCCAGAGTTCAGGTGATGAACACCATCACTGTGGTCTGGCCCGAAAAGAATAATGATGGTCAGACTGACTATGGCCAAAGATCTTTAGCAATGAATTTGAATAGCATTTTGATTCTGCAGACATTGATTGAATGCCTAGAGTGGGGGAAGATATACATCATGCATGTTGGGAGATACAAAGATGAACAAAGTACAGCACTTGCCTTCTAGAACTTAAACCATAGCAGATACGGATTGCCTTGAGTAGTTATTTGTAAGTGTAATTGATTTAAGCGCCTGGAGTGGAGGTAGAAAGTGATTGACTTGAGTGAATGCCTGGTTCCAGATGGAAAAGGGGAGATAGCTGGACTGGCCTTCCTGTAGGTGGGGATATTTAACCTGGTTCTTCAATAACTAGCAATTTCAAGGAGAAAGCAAATTCTGGATTGAATTAAAAGTTGAAGTCAGAGGCACGGAGGTCAAAAAGAATGGAGTGAGCTTGAAACAGCTCAGGCAGAGAAGATGGTCTCCACCCTGGCTGTGCTTCAGTGGCACTTGTGGCCTTTGGGAACACAGATGCCCCACACTACCTACGGGACTGGCGTCAGTCATCTCTACTTTTTAAAAAGTACTGTCAGTCCTTCTGATGTGTAGCCAGGACGGAATCACCAGAGGAGCAGCTTGGAGCTGCAGGGGAGAACTTCAGATGCTGGGGTGAAGATCTGAGACTTTATTTTATGTGAAGAGAGAGGTAACGGTTTAAAATATGATTATTCATTTTGCTGATTCTCCTAATGTTTGGCTTTGAGCTGGTTTATCACTAAGTAACTAATTTGGGCATATTCTTTAAAGAACTGAGTTTTACATCTTCGGAAAAAATGAAAATTTCTTATCAGCATTCCCGCCTGGCCTTAATAGCGACTATTGTATATATATATAAGAACCTGTGGCACTTCTGTGGGATGTTTACTGGGGACAGAGTGGCTGGTCATTCATGGGAGCACCACCCCAGAGGAGAGGTGGAGAGGAAACACTCATTTGCTTCTCTCCTGAGTTCCTGGTAGGTAATCGGTCAGGCGTCTGCCAGTCACCAGTGACCCGCCCACAGAGTTCCTCCTGGGGCTAGGGGTGGGGAAGGAAAGGGCCAAGGGAGAGTGGGGAGAGAGCAGGTGTGGGCATGGGAGCTGTGAGAGCTTGGAGAGCAGAGAAGGGAGCCTGGAGGGAGAAGAGCTAGGAGAGATGGAGGCTGACACAGGGAAGCTGAGGGGCCCTAGTGCTAGGAGAAGATTAAGTGCATGCTGGGTCACAGGAGGGAGCAGTGCAGGAGCCAGGAGAGACTGAGACCTACTTCCGTGAGAATAAAGGTGGGATGAACCCCCAACTTCTTGCCCTTGCCTTAATTCGGTCTCAACGGTTCATAGGGAAGTTGCAACCGGTGGGGAACCCCCTTTTCCCAGAGCAACAGCATCCTAAACTGGAAGTTGATAAGAAACAAGGACTGGGAAACAAGAACTAAAGAGCATGTGTGCATGTGTGTGTATGTGTACATGCATGTGCCCATTTGCGTAAAATTATAAGGAATGGGGAATAACACAGCAAGGCTGGTGAAAGGAACAGACTTAGATTCAGCCAGACACTGGTACCAAACCCAGCTCGAACACCAGTTAATCTCAGTAAGACATACAACTTCTCTGCACTGCACTTCTTCACCTGTAAGATGGGTAAAAAGTATTTATCGTTTAGGATTGTAAGGATCTGAAGTAACATATAAACTGCTAGTGGAAGGGTAAATCAGCAAAACCATTCCAGAAGACATCCCTGTAGTCTGTATGTCTATAAGTAGTAATATGTAACCATACTCGAAAAATATATAAACTTTTCAAACAAATTCTACAGATTTATCCTAATGAACAAACAGACATGAACAAAGACTGAGGGGGAAGGTGTTTTTAGTAACAAATATTTAGAGAAAAAAGACATAATATAACAATTTGAAGATATTTAAATATATTTTGTACATTAATTAGATGGAATATAATGTGGCCATAAAATCTTTTTTACTTTCCAATATATTTTAGAACGTTCATTATTATAATGTTCTCTATAAAAGAATATAAAATGCATGAAGAGTGATTCCAATTACATAGATAGAATTAGGTTTCAATCATGTAAGAAACTTAGAAGAATTAAAACTGGATGGAAATACATTACAATGGATATTTTTCTGTAGGTATTTCTAAATTATTATTTTTCCTTATAGTTTCATATATTGTAGATCTTCAGTGGTAGGTACTGTTGTAGCTCTTTGGTGATCATTTTCAGTGAGTCGTGAAGACTTTAAATTGTTTTACTACTTCTACCTTTTACATTTTTGTCTCACTTTTTTCTAAACTTCTCTTAGAAATTTGAGGTTGATTAATATGTGAGTCCCAGAGCAAAAGAGCCTGGTTTGGTGGGATTAGCAGAGGTGTGGGGATGTGGGACAGGAGCCTAGCAGTGAGACCTCAAGGACCTGGAGGGAGTGGCTTCTGGCTCTGGGCCTCAGTTCCCTGTCCTTCATGAGAAGTGGGTTGAGCAGAAGATCTTGCAGTTCCTTTTCAGCTTGGAAATGTCAGAAGCAATGAGTTACCAAGGATGTTGAGTGAGTCGGAATGGTGGGTGTGTGCGGATTTGTGGAAGAAAGCCGCCCTCAGTAACCTTCCAAGTGATAGTTGATTTACATATTTATGGTGTGCTATTTTAAAATTATATTGTGTTGTAAAACTTTATATAGATTTCATTTCCTCCCTGAAATAATCCACTATTTTGGCTGCTTTAGATCTTTGTTGTTCATCTTGAAATAATTATTAGGATAGGACAATTCTAACTTATAATGTTTCTGTGAGCCAACGTAATAGCAATAGGGAGTCCTGTGTTTCTGATAGAGAGCACTTCAAGAGCTCATTGATTTCTAGCTGTTTGATTGAATATTAGTAATTAAAACTTGACGTACATATTGCACTTTTCCTGTATCTCATGTTTCATAGATCCAGGCTTTTTTTTTTAATTGTCATTAAGCCGATGATTATGGGATTAAGTTTACAGGTTTAACCTTTCATACAACCTTAACATCAAAAAAAAAATCGAATTGAATATTGATGTCCTATTTTACCTTTACCTTGATTTCTTCTCTTAAGTATTTCTGATTATTGGCTTGATAGCATTTTCAATAGATACGTGCATGATAAGAATACCTCCCTACCTTTTAAGATAGCTTTGTAACTTTTATATGACTTAACAGCAATTCCTGGTTTTATAGATCTTATAAAAAAAAACTGCACTCTTAAAGCTGTAGAAACTCAGAAACTCTGTAAGACAATTTCGAAAGTAAAAAAGCATATCAAATTGCTTAGCATTCTTATTTTTTTAAGTGAGAGTAGTAGTGTATTTTGGGGAGATCTTCTTGCTAAAATAAAGTGTTCTTGGTACATATACATATAATACAGTACACTTAGCCAGTTTACTTGCTTCTGTAAAGTAGTCAAGTTCTAGAATAAAATTTAGTGTGTGCTACTAGAATAAAATATTATGACTATATTACTGTTTTATATATATATATAACACTGAAATATATACTATTATATATATATGTGTGTGTGTGTGTATATATATATATATATACACACACACACACACTGAAGTTACTATTATATTTAAAGTAAATTGGATTTGATACCAATAGCAGATAGAAAATTATATTAATTATATTAAATTTGGCACATCATGGGGAAAATACTATGTAGTTTGAAATTTCTGTCATAAACCTTTCTTTTCTTAATCCTAATGATAAACATAACTATTTAATATATTAATTTCTCAATTAAATATTACCAAGAGCAGTGACATTTATTACAAGTTTAATAAATTTGCTAACATCTATTTTTCCCTGCTTTTTAGAATAAGCACAGATGTTGCAGACAGAAGTGTTGTAAATTTCTATCCTACGGAATCAGCAGAAGCCTTAGATTTACAAGATGCTTCAATAAAGTATGTTGGCCTTTCTATAACTGAATATATTGTTTCTTTTTACATTGAAATCTTTATGCTTTAAATTCCACTTTGTGTCCTTTTTCCGCTCCTCCCTGCAGTGGTCCGGTGCAGCTGGAGACACCCCCTGTGTGTGAGGTGAGGCTGCTCTTCAGCCAGTGCTCTGGGCAGTGCTCCGCCGTGTCATGGTGGCCACCATCATCATTAAAGCTCATCATGGGGTTGGATGTTCATTAGTGAGACCAATATTCAGTTTTGTTCAAGATGTATTTTCCAAGTTTTTTATATTTAGCCGTCTTTTAGTTTTCATGCTCTATTACACTTCACCTTCCATTAAACAAGAGAGTTGGCAATTCCCATTAAATTCCCTAAATTTTTGTGTCAGATAGTCTTGCTGAGTTAGGCAAATGCAACCAAGAGGCCTAGGGAGCCTCCTCTGTGTCAGAAGCTGGAGGTTCCACCCACCACTCAACACAGACTTCAGAGCCAAGAAAGAAGCCTTAGAATTGCCCAAATGAAAACAGCAGCAAAAAGACTTGAAAGAGAAGAACCGAGGTTTGGCAAGTGCCTGAGAGGCCTGAGAATATAGCAGAGAGAACTGGTGGGTGTTTGGGGAAAGAGTGAGTGTGGAGGTTTGTTGGGGAGGTTTGAGTGGCTGCATCCAGCAGTTCTCACATAAATCTGGAGATGAGCCTAGATGGTCCCAAAGAAGTCACAGAGAGAGAGGTCTGAGCTGCCGGCTGGGGAGCACAGCGCAGGTTGCAGCTTACCTCTTCTCTTCCTAGTGGACAGATTTAAGGTGGCTCATTTTGTCCCTGAGGTGTCTGAACTTGTGCGGTACTGTGGAAAAGCAGTTTCAAACTCTTAACACTCTAAGCCTCTGTTGAATGAGGGGGAAAAAATTGTAATCGAAAAAGCCTTTTTCCCAGAGAGTATGGTTTCAGTGACATGGAATTATGTTTCCTTTCAGTCCCATTTCAAAGACATGTTAACTAGGGGCGACCCCTCTAAGCTTCACCTTCATTTTCTGTGACTTGGGATGGGTCTCAGTCCAGGGCACTGACTCTGGTGATTAATCTGGATTAATTAGTAATGCTCACTATGACTTACTTTATTACTCCATATTGTTATCGATGTGGTCCTTAGAGAATCACCGGCCCATCTCCTCCCCAGGTGGAGATATCACTAAATTACTCAACAGTGGGACATCAGGGGGCCTTTCATTTGCAGGATGCCCTGGCTGATTCCATTAAGCTCTCCTTTTGAGAAGTGCTATTTGTGATTCTCTGAAGGCCCACTTTTTTTTAAAGCTTCTTATTTAGAAAAAAATTTAAACTTATAGAAGATTGGAGAAATAGTAACAGATTCTACAGAAGTTAACAGAAAGTTATAACCTTTTATCCAGATTTACCTATTATTAACGTTTCACCACTTTTTTTCTATCATTTATTCTCTTTCTTCACACACATAGTTCTTTTCTAAAACATTTGAGAGTATGTCTCATACCTCATAGTCCTTTACCCTAAACATTTCAATATGTTTTCTAAGAATAGGGATTTTATATTACAAAACTGTATTTCATCTCAACTTCCATAAATTTACACTGATATTTTTAAATAGTCTCATCTAATGTACTATCTGTAGTCTAAATTTTCAGTTGATCTAATGTCTTTCATAGCATTTTTTCCCTCTAGTGTAGGATCTAGTCTAGTGGCAAGTATTGCATTTGGTTGTCAGGTACCTATAATTGCCTTCATTCTGGAACATTTCCCTAACCTTTCCTTGATTTTTATGATTTTGAAATTTTAGAGAATATAGCCCTCCTCTTTTTTTCATGGAATGCCCCTTATTTTGTGGGACAAAAATCCCTCATATTTCTCATAAGTAGATTGAAATTCTATATTCTTGTTTGGAATAATGTGTTCTTCTCAAGGTATCACAATTTGGAGGTATACTATGTCTAACTGGTCCTCACTGGTTTTAATAATTAGAAACCCAGTTGAGTTTTAACCTGATTTCTCCGCTATATAATTGCTGTCCTACTTTTACCTTGCAACCAGTTAGCTGCCAGTGAAGAGGTACTTTAAAACCATGTTCACATCTTGCTGCAGACCCACTTTTGACTCTAATAAAAGAGAGGCCCACCTGTGTGCCTGATTTCAGGAGTACCAGTAAGACACAAAACCTCTAGAAAAAAGTGTCTCCACCTCATGTCTTATTCACAGTGCTTTGTGTTTATTTTAGGTTGTTTTTTTCCTTTTTGGTTGAATGAAGTTTCACATTTGGTGTAAGGAATTTTTACTCATTGTCTTCCTTCTGTAGGGCAATTCTTTGTCCATGACACACATGTCGCCATGATTTTAAACAGGGAGGGGGAAAGAGCTGTCTCTCATGAGGAAAGGAAGTCCCAAGGAGGAAGAAAAGAAGTGAAAGGAGGGGATGAACAAGGCCTATGCTAATGATTATGCAGAACTTAAATGTGATCCTCATTTATAATTTGGTCACTTTTATGTTCTCTCCTCCACCTCACTCAGGAAGAAAACAGTATCTTTAGCATAGTCTTGCATCAGTTCGTCAGAGTTTGTTGAGGACTTGTGCTGGATTCAGCCTCGTTTGAGGACTGGGATCTGATAGAGACAAAGCTGCCTGTACCTTTAAGGAATTTTAAAAATTGTGGCGGAGCGAATACCTAGATACTGAAAAACCTTAGAGAAGAATGTGGTCTGCAATCCCAAGTGTTTTAAGTGCTCTGGGAGGCCAGAGAAGGGATATAGAGTTTAAGGAGAAGGAAGGAAACCTAGATTTTCATTTGGATCATTCCCAGGAGGCTGTGTGGAGCATGGTAGTGTGATGCTAGTAGCAGCGGCAAACACACTGAAGGATAAGTGGTGCCCGGTTGGCGGGGGGAGGTCACCGTGGTGACCTCTGGCTTGTAACTGGAAGCACATCACATCACCTGACTTTAAATGCACGTGAGATGACTGTCCACATCAAATTTGGTAGCACTGGCATACATTCAGAAAGAATTGCAAATTACATTTTCATGTGTAAATAATTTCGAATGGAGGACATGTTGGGTAGCGAACAGGAAAAGTTAGAGGAAGGAGTTGCTTACAGAGAGGATCGAAGCTGCAGTTACTCATTCATCAGCTGTTCTACAAAGCCATTTAATTGGGCAGGGAAATTAATGACATTTTCTAAAAATCTGCTTTTCACTTGAATTTGTCAAAATTGGGCATACTTCTTAATAACATTCCTCAACAATAGGAATAGGCACAGACATCTTAAATGTATACTAATTTGGTGTAATATATATGAAGATGTTTGTATTAGCTGTCACCGAACATTTTGTTTAGGAAGATTAGTGGGGTTCTTGATTACCATGTAAAGAAGGCGGATCTGGATAAAATAAGCTAGAGTTTGCCTATTGCCAAAGCAAACTGATGTTGAATTGACAGCATAAGAATTTCCCAGGTAGTTAGGGGCCCAGGTGTGTGTATTTATTAAAAGCTCCCAATGACATTCTGTGTATTTGGGAGCTATTGCCCTGGACCATTTCTAAAAGCCTGTAGTTCAAATGGGCATGGAAGCCTGCAGATGGCCTGATAACTTAGCAAGGCAAGCTGATGTTCACAGGTGGCTGGGACTGAATTTGCTCTGGGAAATCTGTTTTCCTAGTTTGTATGATACTTGAGCTGTATTTTTCTGTGAATACAGCTGCATGTTTTAAGAAAATGTAAGTATGACCTACTTAGCTACTTAATGCACTAATTAATTAATTCAGTGTGTACTCATTGTGTGCCTGTGTGCCAGGGATGTGATGGAAGTAAGAAAGATGCAGTTCTTGTCTCAATGATTTTATAGTCTAATGGAACATACCATGCTTTTTTTTTCTTCCTTAAGGTGCAAAATGATCTAACATTAGAGAGTAATGGGAACGAGTATTCTCCAAATGAGGTAAATTTCCAGAAGATTAATGAAAGCTGAGGTATTTTGTGAAGCCTGAACTAGAATATCTATTACAGAAATATATAATCTAAAACTGTCATGATTAATGGGTTAATTGTATTGCAGATTCTCTGGGGAAATCTCTCGCATTAGCTATCATAGCCCTATCTGGCCCTATCCATAATTAAAGATTAATTTTAGAAGATATATTTTGAAAGCAAAATATGGGAACGTCTTTACAGAAAATAAAGTGAAAATGGCTCAGATAGGCAGCATTTAGAATATGTTGTTTATCCATAAATGATTCCATGTATGGTTTTCCTGTAGATGAGACATCTGTTCAGGGTTATGCATTCCCTCATCTCATTGTGTCATGAGATCCTTCATCATGTGTGCCCCTTGTGAGGTGGATGTGAGTGTGTGCCTGTGTGTGTGTGTGTATGCCTGCACACTCAGGTACACATCTGTTCTGGAGCAGAAAAGGATTCCAGTTTTGCCTGGTTATAAACTTTTTATAATGAGTAAATCAAAGACTGAACAACATTCCATTAATTATGCTTCTTAAAACATTTGTGAAGATGAATAGGTTTATCATATTTTTTAGTCAGGACTTATCACACAGCGAATGCTAAATGGTAGTGGTATTATAACCCTTGAATATAAAGAAGCACGCATAGTTCTGTTACAGTTTTTAAAAAAAAATTCCCTTTCCTTCTGAACCCACAGATTAGAGAGAGCTCCCCTGCAGTCTCTCCTACCAGCAACAGCACAGCTCCGTTTGGCCTGAAGCCTCGATCAGGTAAATGAAAACCTCAGTGCTCCAACAGTTGTAACAACTCAGTGGTTTCTCTTTAAAAGCCCTTTGAATGTGTATGTTTTGGGCAAACAGCCTTGCCAATTCTGGTGAATCTGAGCCCTGGCTTCGGAGCTTTACTACAGCTTGGGGAAGCCACATTTTGGAACCTTGCTTTCAATGAGTCATCTGTTAAGTATTTGTTATCAGTAATAGATGTCTTACCTCCTTTTGGATCAGAACAGAGAGAGAAAGGTGATGGGCATGGAAGCAAGGGAAAAATATTCTTTCAAGTTTCTTTTTTCTTTTTTTCTTTTTTTTTTTTTTTTTTNCAGTCTCCAATCTTCTGAAGCATAACGAACAAGTTCTTACATGGTGAACGAATTCTTACATAGTGAATAAATTCTTACATGGTGAACAGTACAAGGGCATTCATCACAGAAACTTTCGGTTTTGATCATGCAATATGACCTATAAACAATCAGGTCAAATATGAATATTCGTTTGATTTTTGTATCAAGTTTCTTTTTATCCAGAGAAGATAAAAAGCTAGTCCTTTGCCCCTGTGGTTCCTGATGCCCTACTGTAGAGTTCAAAAGCAGCCTCTGGACAGTGATTCTTTTCTGAGACATCCTCCGTTTGTTTTCTGAGCCTTAAACGGGTCTGTTTATTTCCTCATTTAACAGGGTGAACATTTCAAGGCACACGTGACTGGTCAGGAGTCACTGTATTTTTAAAGAGCCTTTCTGCTATATTACCTACCTACTTTCTTTTAGTATACTTATTTTTAGTATATTCACAAACATACACTATAGCAATGTGCAGAATAACTAGTGATTTGAAAAAGAAGGACTATATATAGACAAATCTGGTTCTTCATATTTCTCTATGTACTTAAAAGTTCTGGCATTATCCACCTCCTTTGGATCCATCTTTGTTTTAATATTTTTGATTCTTCAGTTTTTTGTAAACACTCACTACTAATGCTTTTAAGTAATTGCTAAGAAAGGACTCAGACCTGTAAGCCAAAGCTAGTAAAGAACTGAGATCTTCCTGGGTTTTTCAGTAAAGAGTTTTGGCAGCAGTACAAATTGCACATGTGTATATTTTGAAAAAAAGGGAATCCATAGTGAAAACTAAAGGTGATTCTTTTATAAAGGAAGTGTTTTCATTTTGGAGCAAATTTGATTGATGGGTAACAAGTGGCCAGGTATAATGATTTCCCAGCAGTTTGAATAGGCTGTAAGACAACTATTTCAGAAAATGCTTGGATGCAGCAAGGGTCAGTAGATGTTTTATTGAAAGCCAAATTGTGCATGAAAGAAGCTTAAATGACTGGCCTCATTTATGGAACTGATATACTACCAGATCTGGGCTGGGTTTTCATTTTCATGGTCTCAGGTATGTACTGGGAGGAATGGAGGTCCGTCAGACACATCTCCGTGCCTTCAGTGTGGGCTCACCGGGAGAGTTATGAAAGCTACGTGCTGAGGACTCACACTGGGCTATAGGCTTCTCCGAGTCCTTACAGCAGGTTTTACATAGTTTAAAAATATTTTATAATTGAGGAAATTAAAAGTTGAATGGATCTCCAAACAATGTTCTTTTGAATTTTCATGTTTACAATTAAGTTGTAATACTATCTCAGTGACTTTTTAATTCCTTTTAATGAAGTCCAAACATGGCTTATCAACACTGTAGATGCACTGTTAAGCCATTTCAGATTTTTGTAGTGGTGAAAAATAAACGGGGTATTTGAGTAGCAGAAAACAAAGATAATTTCCTCTCCAAGCTTCCAGCCTTTCTATAATGCTGATTAAACGAGGTGGAAATCGTCCCAATTGTTGAAAGCTTTGTGGAGTTTGTTTGCTGTAAATAATGCTGATTTATCTTAAGGACCGTCAAGTGGCATGTTGGAACTTTATAAACTAGCTCTATGTCCTGGGAATTTTTAAAAATTTTATTTGGTAATTTAAAACTTCAAAGTATATATTTTCACATTTTTTAGAAAATAATATATACAGTAATCCTAATTGAAGGGCTTAAGATTTAAAATAAATTCTTTTTGGATGGAATAGCGTTGGGACTTTTAAAAGCCAATTAATTTTTATTTTAAAGTTTAAGTATATGAATTTATGTGATTTCTGTGTTATAAATAAAAACAGACTGGTCAAATCAGCAAGTTGAAATAAGAGCTTTGGTTCAAAAGAAACATATTTTTTCCTCTTCTATGTTTCTCTCCGAACAAAGACAACTATATGTATCCAAATATTCATTCCCAGATCCATGTCCATTTGTATTAGTGACCCTACCTTAAGGTTGAATAAAAATTATGTAGATATTTCCTAAACATCTAAAATTACTATCTGGCTATTTAGTGCAAAAAAAAGAGAGATTATTATTACTTAATAAATGACCAACTCAAAAGTGCTTGATATTGGTTGACATCTCTTAGTTAATTAGATTTGTTGTTACAAGAGTAAAAGAGACTCTGTTAGTGTCCAAAATTGTTTTTATTCTGATCAGTATTGGAGACAGTATTGAGAGTTGTGTGTCAAAGGTTGGGCAGAGAGTTACCTAGACTCAGCTATCAATAAAGCATGCCAGTGGACTTACAGATGTCTTTAAAGAGAAATTTTACATTGCCTTGGGAAAAAATTCACAGATGTTAAACACTGATTCTATAATAGTTCATGTCTAAATAATAGATATATTTATACATATTAAGCTTTGTGTAACCAGATTTTTTTGTGTGAATCATATTTGCTAAGATTGTTAGTCATTTAGAACCTTTTTCAAAAGATAGGTCTTTTGCTTTTTACCTACATGATCTATGCGAAGTCTTTCTGCTAACATGATTCATTAGTACTCTAAATCTGTGGGCTTGTGGAACTGTTAAATTAACGATATTAACTGCATGCCAAGTATATGATTGATAAGTACTAACACTCAGTTTTTATCATTCTTTTTATTCCATGCGCCATCTTTCATTCTTCTACTGTATTGTACATTTGAAATTAAATCCCATATTGTGAAATTCGCTTCATTTCCATACAATCCTTATGCCATTTGTGAAATGCTGCGGCCCCTTGGGTTTTTCCTGGTCCTTGTGCAACTGTACGTGGCCTGGCTCTTGCTCTCCTGCAGACCCAGCCCTCACTCTCCCTCCTATCTCCTTCAACAAACTTACACAGGCACAGACATGGGACAACTCTAGCTACAGTGTTCCATCTGAAGGAGACAGTGACAATGGTAGGTGGCTTTGTACCTGTTCTTCAATGTGCTCATTAATAAGCCAATGAATATACTAAACATTTCTGTGCAGCTGAAGATAGAGTATATTCACCTGCATGCCTGATTTAAGAAATAATGAGTAAACCTGGGAAGTGAAGTCCAGAACAGTGCATGAGGATTGTTCTCCAGCAGTTTGCCAACCTATGTTTAATTATCTTGGATATTCTGAATTTGGGGAGGACTTTATAGTAATTTCTTCTCTTACCTCTTCTGCTTGGGTTTTTTGAGTTGGTTTGCTTGTTTACAGAAATTTGGGGTTTGCACATTTGGATTATCTCTGCTTGCTCCTGCATCCAAACAAAGTGCTTTTAGAGTTTGAACTTTTATTATCTATGCTTACCATAGGAGATTTTTAAGGTAATTAAGATGTACCATAACTGATCCATGAGTGGTGCACTGGAAATAATGTTAACATCAAGAAATTTATAAAAATGGAGAGAAATCACTTGCCTTTTTTTTTTACAAGTTATTTGCACATTTTAACTCTTGATACCTTCTACCTTTTTGAGTGGAAGGTCATCTCTATAATATTCAACAATAGTAACCTGGCTTGAGAATCAAATGTGCAAATAAAAAATTGAAGATTTATGTAGCTGTCTTTTAATTTTGTGCCTTTAAGTATCTTAAATAACCTAAAATATTAAAATATAATAAATGTAATTATTTAGATCTACATGCCACACATAGCTGAATCTCCGTATGTTAGTTTGATTTTAAACATTTTACTCCAACTACAAAGTGATAAAAGTAATGTTAAATGAAACAGAGCATTATTTATTGGGAAAGGAAGTGAGATGTGAGCTAGTATACCAACAATTCAAACACAATAAGAAGATAAATTTTTCGATAATATTTTTTTAATCTGTTATATACAATGCATAGCAAATATATTTAAATATTTGCTGTGATTTCTGGTCAAAATTCAACCAGAAATACTTTTCCGATTTTCTTATGTAGAAGGATAATATATATTTTGGCAGGTTAGTTATAAAGGACTTACATAATTTCATAAATTTGTAAATATTTTTAACTGAAATTAAGTATGATCAAACAACAGTGAAACAGAAGACAGCCCCCACCCCCCCCAGCCCACCCCTTATAAATATCCTATTTTAAATTCTGGAAGTTGAAGAAAACTAAATGGAAACTTCTTGATAAACTGTTCCTTTACTACAAAATAAAAAAAAAGAAGGGAGAGGCATTTTTGCTTTTCAGAAAGCATGGCTATTTATGGGCCTAGTGGTGTTTAAAGGAAATAAAGCCTAAGATGAAAGATTTATGTGTGATTTGGTATTTCCTTAGGAGTGATATCTGAAACCAAAGGACCTCTTTTTCTTTTTTTAAGCTGGGAAAGTTCTAGACATTTTATGTAGCAGTAGAATTTCTATCTTTATAGATGAACCAACTAAAACCAGAAAGGGGAAGGAACTTCTGAGCCACACTGCTCCCTGGCGGTGGTGAGGCCACGCCCACGGCCCCTAACTCTCCCCTGGATTCATTCTTCAGCTCTTTACTGAGAGCTCTTTATGTAAGATACTAAGCCAGACTGCCACCTTTTTATTAAAAATTCTCAGATTTCCATAGAAAAGAATCACTGTGAAATCTCTTACTGAAAATAAAATAACCTTGCAATGTTTGATATTTTTTTGTATGAGTGAAAATTCCAGAGCTTTGTGTGTTAGCTGTTACATGGTGCCACGATAAAAATAAAGTGATTGTTTCCAATATTCATTTGGCTAAATCACATCAGATTTGGTGGTTGTCATTTATCCGTATTTGCAATGTGTCTATAATATGCCTGCACAAGAGGTAATTTTCTATGCAGAAATATTCTTTACAAATATTTGTGCAGCAGATCTGGTCTTTTATAGGCATCTTCATTTTCTTCATGCTAAACTTTGCCTTATGATTTGAATACATACATTGTCCAGTACATTTTTTAAATTAATGAAATTGCTTTATATGTATCCATAAGCATAAGAGCTAATGTTGCAAGGGGAATAGAGCCTACATTTTTATGTTTTTATTATTTGTTCCTCTTAAGAGACCTTATTCAGTGGCCTCTCTTGGCATTTCAGAGCTGATTACCACATCAGTTTTGCTTCCTCATATTTTCTCCATTATCCAGTCTCTGTAGCTATCTCAACCTTTGTAAATAAATGGCATCTTATTACCAACTCAACCCAGCATAAATATAACTTGTCTTTCATTTCTATTGTTTCGTTATTATTTTTTGTAAAGTTGACATTTTTATACCTTGTTCGCTGTCTTGCTTTATATTAAATGCCCTTTTATTTAATTCTTTTATATAATTTCTTTTTATTTAAATTCTTCTCGATGCCCTTTTATTTAAATTCTTCTCAATATTTTGTTCCTTTTATTTAAATTCTCCTCAATATTTTGTTCCAAATATATTTCATTTTTAAGTCCCTTTTTTTTCTCTAAAACTCATTCTTCAAAGAAATGAAAAATGGTAAAGTGGCCAGAAGATCCTTGGGAGTTTGAATCCCACAGTCCTAGAGTCCTGCTTATTAAGGTGACAGGGGAGGAAGCAAAGCATGTGAGTAGGTCTGCCCAGGCTTGGGGCTGTTTGGGGCAGCTTCGCTTTGGCTGTTCTTGACTTGAAAGCAGCGTTTGCTCTTTCTCTTGCTCTTGTGCCTGACTAATTCTCTGCATCTTTCTTGCTTTTTCCCCTTCACTTTGAAATTAAAACCCTTCCCATCTTCTTTGGAATCACTTTTCCCTTTTTCTTTGCAACTAATTGGTAGTTATTTAAAATTGATCTTTAAATTATCACTGGAGAATGAATGAATGGACATAGGCATTTTGGCCCAATTTACAGACATTTGCTAATTCTTTACAATAATCTTGCCCATATTGGTATTATTTTCCCCACTGAGGCTGTGAGAGGTGTTTCAGTGGTTCTTAACCCTGGCTTCATATTAGAGTCACCTGAGTGTTTTAAAAACTGCATTCCAGTCTATGCCCCACATTCAGAGATGCTAATTTATTTGGTGTTATATGGAATTTGCACACTGATTATACTTCTACTGATCTTTATGTTATATTCAAGTAAGAGGAAGCCACTGGGCTAAATAAACTGCCCAGAACCATAGAGAGAAAATTTAAGCATTCTGAGGGCAGAGATGATATCCAATTCATTTTGGAGCACCAGAAATAAATGAATGCACTAGTCAGATTTCTAATTCTTGTTTGCCTGAATTGAAAACCCATGATGTTTATTCAAAGCCACCTTATTTGCCCTTAAATTTGTGTATCTTAAGCATCAAATCCAGTCCAGGTTCTTTCAAGGAGAAATTGAGAGCTAAATTTCAAAACCTAATGTGCCCACAGAGAAGAAATCTCCTTTTACTGAGTTAAGTTTAAGTAATAAAGGTTAATAATTTAGATTGGTAATTTCTATACTAAGAGCATATTTTATGTAGTAAATAGCATTTCAGGCAATTTTTAGAACAGTGGGCTTTCTTTGCTTAACTGAAAGATACTCTTACAACAATTAGAGAATGGTTTCATGTGTACATCCTTACATATCCTTTGCTTTGAGTGCCTTCTATGTGCTAGGCATGATGCTTGTTACTATAGATACATAGTATCCATAGAAGACAAACAAGATCTCTGCTTTGGTGAAACTTATTTCAGAGTCTACAGCATTCATACCTGAAAACTAATATTTCGATTTTTTTGACACAGGAAATATTCAGATGACTGATTATTAGGGCAGGATAATCTCTGCAAAGATCCTCTCCAAATGGACTGATTGTTGAATGAGGGAGTTATTGAAACACTTGTTTCATTTATTCACCCAGCAAACTGTTTTGCGGGGTGGGACAGAAATACATACTGGAAACAGACATAAATTCTTAGTCATAAGGGAGAAAAACACATCTATTCTGTAAGACAGAAAGTGATGAGAGAGACAGAGATAAAAGAATTTTGTACATTCATAGTAGACAGATCACTCCCTGGTTAGGGATGAGGATGAAGAGAAAAGTGAAGCAACAGGTAGAGGTAATGGAAAAATCAGTGGAATTTGACCTGTACCTGCAGGAATGAATTTGATATTCTGCCTAAGCATATTCATTCTCTGTGGGGCCTTTGTTAGAAATCTGTCTTTTCTGCTAAGTAAACTACAGAAATGAGCAAATCATCTCTTTGGTTCTTTGAAGTTTGATATATAGTAATTAAGCAGTAAGCAGGACTAATTTTTTCCTGCATCTTAAATTACCTACCTCCTTGTCTCTCCCTATGCACAACCATTCATATACTCGCTCACTCTGCTCTCTTGTCCCTCTTTTTTTCTTATTTACACTTTATCAGGGTGGCATGTGATTTGAAAAACAAGTAACAGTTCACCTCTTAGTAATACTGTCTTGTAGCCTCATGTTAAACTTTTATTCCCCTGAATTAAGGAAGGAAGTTTAGTGAAATTTATTGATATGAAATTAAGGAAAGACCAAAATGATTCTTCCATAGATCAATTTCCTGAAGCTTTAATCTAGGCTGGTCACTGCAGTTATTACTTAAATATGACTTGGAAAGAGAAGAAAAGCTGTACATAAGATAATCACAGCTACCATAATGGTCCCATTAGGATTATTCTGTTCTAAAAACAAACCCAGCAAAATAGGCAAGCACTTATGTGCTCTCTTGATTTATTATTAGCCCAAGGAGTTTGTTTTAAATTCTCATATATTCCACAATAATTAATCCATTTAGAAAACTACTAGAATTATAGTCATGGTTTGCAATAATTTTATGTACATTGGAAGCATTCATTTTAAAAAACACAGTTCAAATGTGTTTTAACACTGTGATTGCTTAACATTCATTAAGCAAATACCAAAGCATGCATTTTGTATTTTTAATGCATTCAAGAATTTAAGATGAAATGCTATCACCAGGAAATTAAAATCCAGACACTACTGTATTATCTTGTTATCTCACATAAGGTTCTAACAGGGAAGAGATACTTGAATTGTGTGGTGTTAAACAAAAGCTCACAGTTAATTTAACTTCCTGATAGTTTTGTATTCAGAAAGAAATCTGCCAATAAAAACATATTGAAAATATTAAACATGCTGTATTAGATAAGGCTGCCCTTAAAAAAAGGCAACGGAAAATAAAACCTCCAAAGAAAATATTAGATTTATTCAAACAGTGTTGGGGCGCCTCTTGCTGGCTAACATGTGTATGGCTCAATTCTGCCCACATTCCTTGACTTTTTTGGTAAATTTGCTTGACTTCTTTGAGGGTGTGGATTATTTCTAGATTTTACATTTTAGTATGTATCTCTTCTGGTTGCTATGTTTAAATGGGTAGATATTTTTGTTGTGCTCGATGTGGTCTAAAGGCAAGTTTAATTCATTTCCAATTTCTTCCATGCTTTCCTGTTCTGTCAAACATTTCCTCATTTCCCTTTGCTCTGTGAACTTCTCATGTCTCTGCCCAGTTTCTCTTCTCTACTTCCTTTGCCGGTCTTACCTTTGTTTCTGTGGGCCTTGGTGACATGCTTTGGCTGTTCTTGGCTGTGACTTCCCTGGGTGGCTTAAGGCAGATGCCCTGACCGAGGGGTCTCCTCTCTGAGGTTTCAGAAGACATTATATGTATACATTAGACCATCCTCTTTCTTCACTGACTGTAAGTCAAGAGTTTATTAAGTTGTGTGAACTTTCTGATTGTCCATAGAGCATCAGAATGCTGACTCAAATAACCTACAACTATTTAGGAAGAAAATACTGAGTTGCAAGAAGTATGGTGCAAGACATTTATTAGGGTTTGGTCCAAAGATACAAATTGAGATTACAGTGAGATAGTTGGATGAGCATGGGGTAATTGATTATATGGAGTGGACTCAAGTATTTTTATTTGAGGCATGTTTTTTAAGCCATGTTTAATTTTTTTAAATTAATACATTGGATTAGATTTTGAAGTGGCCCATAGGCCATGTTTGTCAGAATAGAATAAAAGTTGCATAACCTTCTTACTCTGCATTATTTAAATTACAGTGGTTGAAACTGCGAGGGCTGCAGTACACTGGTGCAGGCTTCTATGTGGTACTAATTTTTAAAATTGGAGTTCTCTGCCCCAAATTCCCCAAAGGGCTCCTCTAAACCACCCCCCAAAACAATCTGAAAGTGTATGGGACAGGAACAACTAAACACAGCTCCTCACAGCTTTTTGGCCCCTCCTGCATGCATGGAAAAGTGACAGTTTTAATGGGATAAAAATCTCCAGGAAGAAAACAATCCAAGTTTGAATCTGCTCTGGGCTTTGTATCAAAACAAAAATTGATTAAAACTCTTGCTATAGTCACTCTCCTATATGTGAATGCTTTGTAACTTCTTTATTAGTTGATAAAAGATACTATCCTTTAGAGGTTTAGAGCATTCATTTTCCCTGTGAGCCAGAGGCTTACCTCCTTGCAAAGGGATCAGCATCATTAGCTGCTATTCTTGGAGATTGTAATTTTAAGGACCTGAAGCCAAAGATCTCTTAAGTTGCCGCTAATCTTGCAAACTTTTCTAAAAGGAGTCTATGGTCACCTCTAAAGAGCTAACTTTCTGGATGCAGTGTCAGTGACCTGACAGGAGGAAGAGTTTTTCCACTCCACACTCAAATATTTTATATCATGTTATCATCACTTAGTTCTTAACTCAGGCTTATGAAGAATTTTAGCCGACAAAAACATTAGTCTGTGCTTATTTTAACATGTAAAGCAATTTTAGAGTTTTCTCATGGAAAATAAATTATCTGAATTTAATGAGAGGATTGTGAAACTCCAAGTGTAAATGAAAATTTAGAATGAAAGCGGAACAATGAGAGAGAAGGTACATCTGTCAGAGAAGTGACAAGGAATGGTTCCAAGGATGACCAAAACCCTTCCCTGCACCAGTTTATTATCACCAAAAAGTATAGCTTTTGTTAGTCTGCACAAGCAAGTATAATTTGAAATATAAATTTTAAAATATTTGAGTCCAGCTTTCTATGTGAAGTCAGAATTTCTTTAGTTCTGTGAGTAGTTAAGTGAATGATTTGGGATAAATAAATAATCTGTTTAATTTAACTATGAATAGTCCTCCATGACAGCCTGTAGAAGGCCTTCCATAAAGACTTTTTTCTTTTCTATTATAGTGTTTATAAGACCTCAGAGAAATTTGGAATCTATAGACCCACAGTTTACAATTCGGAGGAAAATGGAGCAGATGAGAGAAGAAAAAGAACTGGTGGAACAACTCCGTGAGGTACCCAGGAAATATTATAGAACTGAAATATTATATAGCTGAGGGACAATGTTCAGAATTGAAGCAGCATTCTACTTTTTAAAAAACAGACTATGTAGCAGTGCAAACAGACCTAGTTTCAGATCTAACCAGGTCGCCCACTGACTGCTTGATATCAGGCAAGTCACTTCACATCCCTAAGTTCACCTTATTTCATGTATTAAAAAAGAAATGGTTCCTATCAACCTTAGTGGGGTTTTGTGAGGAATTATGAGACAATGTAAGTAGAAATACTTACTACATATGTATAAGGGCTATTATCATTTCAATTCAGGTATACTTTAAAACAATGCACTGCCATTTATTTACTTATTAATATTCCATTCATTTAAAGATGTTTATAGTTACTCTCCCTTTGTATCCCAAACTAGTCAGAACTTTTTAATCAATTGGCAAACCATTTGAGTTCCTAAAAAGGGTAGAGTCTTGGGTTGGGTGTCCATTGAAGATTCTGAGCCTGGCCATGGCAGGGGCATAGCTGCCTTATCCCTTGTTGTAGCTGTCTCCCCACACGGCTCCCCGTGAGCACTCTGTAGGTATTTGTCTGCCATCATGGTTTTTATGTCTTTGGGGACATCTCACATGAATACATGGAAGGTCAAATAGCAGTACAAGGGTTGGTCGCCAGAGACCGACCCTTCAGTATCAGTATCAGTAATCAAAGTCAGCACATCATGAATTTCTATCTAAGTTGTTTATGTTCAGAGAAGCACCATAGCCACGAACTCTTCTAGAAGAATATAAGAAAGTGTTTTAGAAGACATAGATTTTATGCTGTATTTTCTCCTTTCATTAGCAAATGATTCCTAACTGCTGGTCTGCGTCAGGCAGTATTTCAGGTGACAGATACAGGAGAGAATCAAAGTCCTTGCTCTTGGGAAGCCTGTAGTCTATTGGGAAGAGATAGTAAATACGAAAGAAACAAATAAGCATACAATTCCAGATAACAATGAGTTCTGCAAATGAAAATTGAAGCCTATAAATAAAGTTAAATTAAGGTAGGTCCACATCTTTGTTGTTGTAGAGGATAGGTTTAGCAGGTAGTCAGCAGGAACACTGAAAACACAAAAATCTCTCACCACCGCTCTAAGTCCCTGTAGTTGTCACAGCAGTCATGTGAAGAAAGTCAGCTCTCCACACTCGGATGTGTTCCCAACTTGGGAGGTGAACTTTCTGAACATAAATCAGAAGCTGAGATATGCCTCTCAAACAAAATTTAATTTTATCTTAAATTGATCACTTATGTTTTAATTTATGGTGTAAAATAAGAGACGGAAGGAATGCTGAAAAAATTGGTTGTCTAGAAAGAATTTTGAAAGAATTATATGACACTGTTCATGCACTGATTTTTAAGAGCTTCATTTATTGCAGATCCCCAAATTAAGGCATCCTTTCTTGGTCTAGTATCCATTTAAAAGGAGTTTCTATTATAAAGCAGAAATCTGTATTTGAATTAAAAAAATTAATTTCTCCACTTCTGATTCTGCAAAGATGGAGTGAACCTACTTTTCCATATTCCTCCCACTAAATACAACTAAAATCCCTGGGTATTATATGTAAAATAAACATCTAAAAAGTGGAGAAAAAAGGCAGATAGTTCAGGTCCTTGTGACTAGAAATCACTCGGTGGAGAGTTCCACAGATTTTCCTTCTTTGCCTCAGATATGTCAGACTTGCAGCTGCAGTAGCTGGAACTCCCAAAATTCTAATCTATTTCTTTGCTAAAACGTAGTCTAAGAGAAAAGCATGCCTTAATCTCTCTTCTGCCCCTTGGAGCCTTCCTGAACCAGTCAGATATGGCCTTTGTTGGTCAACTTATTCTTGTTTTATATTTGTATTGTCAATGGGGTGGTAACATTGAACTCAGTAAGTTATTCCATTATTCCTTTCATTCAACTAATTAAAAAGTTTAGACATATCTGAATGTGTTTTTCTACAGAGGAGATTTTTACTTTAATATCTTTTGAAAAGATTTGAGTAATGGCACTGTTTTTCAGGTGTTTATATCCTTCTGCATAATGAAATTAATATGTCAGTTCATAGATGCTCGTGACTGTATTTTACCTTCTGTTGCCCGATAGCCACTGGCTCCCTTCCTTGTCCCCTCAGAGCATCGAGATGAGACTCAAGGTCAGCCTGCATGAAGACCTGGGGGCCGCACTCATGGACGGCGTCGTGCTCTGCCACCTGGTCAATCACATCCGCCCTCGGTCCGTCGCAAGCATCCATGTCCCCTCACCAGCAGTTGTAAGTCACACCATATCAAGGGAAATGAACTTTTACCTCAAACAAACTCTTTCGGAACCCAAACACCTAGAAGAGTAGAAAAGGGACAGGTCTGAATGAAGCAGCATTTTCACCAGAAAAAAGGGAGATCATATAAATATGTAAACAAATGGAAAACATTTGTTTACATATGTAAACAATGGAAAAATACATGATATTAAAGAAATTACCAGTTGGGGGTGCTAACTTTAAGAGTTGTAGGGACATACAGATTCAGTTCTCACAAGGGCTAATTTACATGGTGAGAAGTCTTTTGGGAAAGCTTTCTTTGGTTGGTAGCTTCTCTTCTAAATGGAATCTCTTTCCTTTCTTACTCATTGGTGATTTTAGGATAGCTCTGAAGATATGTGGATTCTGTGTACACTATCATTAATGACTTGTCAAGCCAGAGGTTGGTCAGCCAGTCATTAATCCAACAGTTCTGTGACCACCCACTGTGCCCAGGCACACTGGAGATACTGGGGAAGCAACCAGAAAGATGAGGATGAGTGGACCCCATTAACACCCTAAGATTGTCTCCTCTGTGGGGAGAGAGAAAGCCAGCATGTGGGAGCCTCTGCTTACAGCTCGCAGAGCATGTTACCCTTCAGGAGAGAGCCACGCAGTCAGTTTTGTGGTCTTTCAGATGGGGTGGGAAAACCAGTAAGTTTGTCTTTGAAGCCTACTTAAAGTTCAGGCAAGTAGAGAAGAAACAAGAATTTCTACCCACGCTACTTTCTGTATATCATGAGAGGGAGAAGAGTTTAGAGGCTAAGCACGTAGGGTTTCAATTCAAAGTCCAGATCTCCCTAGGAGCCATATGACTTGGGGCAACCTAACTTAACCTTTCTTTAACTTGATTTGTTTTTGTTGATCATGGAAATATTCTTGTGGATATGAAATGACATGCTACCTAGGATACACATATGAATATAAACCATTGTTATCATTAATATCTATAGAGGAGATTTTCAAAATTCAGAGCCCCAAAGGCACAGTTTCACAAAATCTCATATAAGGAGCAGGTTGAGTGAAGGCCTCGGGTGGATCCCCTCTATTCCCTCTCTGGCTCCCCAGGAAAGCCTCACAGTGTCATTATTTGTCCTAGTTTCTTTTCCTTTGGCAGCAGGAAAAATTAACTGATGAATCCATTTCAACTGTCAGATTCCTTTCTATATTATTAAACCTACTTTTCCTTTTAAAGTTTTACTCCTTTTTTGCCTCAGAAAACAAGAGAAAAAAATCAATGTGTCTTCACTTCCAAATCTGCCTTTGGCTGCCTTAGTTTGGGCAGTAAATTCTGTCCAATACGAATATTACCAGTATTTTTAAAAAATGAGACTCAATCTGTAAAGTTGTCTGAGCCATGGGCCACATTCTCAATTAGTAATTCTCCTCAAATGATAAGAAAGAAACTATGACTCCTTATCGTCCAATTTGGATATACAATTATCATTTTACAAGGTGTAATAGGACACTGTGAATCATGTATCTATATACATTTGTATATTTATTAATTCCTCAAGAAAAATGCTACATTCTTCTAGAAATCTTTCAGCTGTCAACCTTTTCTTTGTTTTTTTTAAATAAAACTTTTTAAGTTAAAAAAAAAAGGAGATAATGCCTGACTGGTGAAAAAGAGAAAATAGAAGCAGAAGAAAAATAAGTCATCATTTTATCTCACCATCCAAAGACAACCACTGTTAATATTTTTACTTCTATACTACTGATGCCAGGGTTCTTGTTTGCGGAGTAGAAGAATGAGCTTCACAAACACTCAAGGTAGGAGAGCAAGGTACAGGCTTTTATTTAGAGATACAGTGAAAGGACAGAGCTCCCGGCTCATGCCAGGAGGGGACAAGAGAGTCCGTAGTGGTGGGTTGTCTAGGGGGTTTTATAGGCAGCAGAGGATTTTTCCAGAACATGAAAAAACTTAGGGGTGTGAACTTGTTAAGTGGTCTCTGAATATTTAGAATTAACTTAACACAAGCAGCTTTCTCTGATGATTTCTCCCTTGGATATCAGCATCTTGGTCTGGGGGCATATGAAACAAGGCACGTGCTCAGCCCCCAGGGTGGGCTGAGGTATTGTTTGCTAAAGAGTAAGTTAAGAATTTCTAACGTCTTAACTTCTTGGGTATTAAAATGAAATCTTATCTTTAAGGTGGAATCCTTCCTGTCTTTTACTGTGTTGTTTATGCCTGGGCTTGCTAAATTAGTTGTCCAGTTTGCCAAATCACTCCATCAGATCTGAAGGAGGAAAAACAGCACATAGGCCTGGGCCTTTTAGTATGCTAAAGTGAACCTTACACATGATTATAAATGGTTAGCATAATAAAACATGTGCTACTCTTCTTTATCTGGGGAACATTAACTGATTTCACTGAAGAATGATTCTAGAGCTCAATGTTTAACATAGAGTTTTAGCAGGGGGGTTTCCTTGATGTAGTTACATTTCTCTGGCTGTAAATATCCTGCCCTGCCCCCTCCAGAGGCCCTCACCCTACTCTGACTATATTTATGGTCCCTGTCTCACTACTAGCATTCTTTCTGCATTTAAGTTGTTTTGAATTGTGAGCTTCTCATATATACTGCAGTTGACTCCTGAACAATGCAGTAAGGTGTGGTTGAAAATCCACATAGAACCTTTGACTCCCCGAAGACTTAACTTCTAATAGCCTACTGTCTATTGGAAGCCTTACCAATAACATGAACAGTTGATTCACACATATTTTGAATATGTATTATATATTATATTCTTATAATAAAGTAAGCTAGAGAAAAGAAAATGTTAAGAAAATTGTAAGGAAAACAAAATACATTTACAGCACTTTTCCTACATTTATTGAGAAAAATCTGCAGGTAAGTGGACCTGTGCACTTCAATGCTGTGTTGTTCAAGCGTCAACTGTATGTAGGAGTTATTAAAATGTATTAAAACCTAAATATTTCCCCCAGTCATTAAAATTATTCATAGCTATTCATTTTAGTAACTGTAATATATTTTAGCTGTTATTGTGTTGCAGTTTTTCCTTTTTAGAAATGATGGCTGTTTCCAGATGTCCACTTGTCAGAAATTCTTCAGTGAGCATCTTGAAGCCTCCTGTGACCAGGCCATGCTGTGGCCTCAGAGCCTGCTTTCTGTCTCCACGGCAGAGTTTGCACAGGCAGCTTTCCCTGAACCAGAAGGCTGCCCCCACCCCTGCCTCAGATCTCCTCCCCTTGCAGCTCTGCTAGCTCCCATTGTTCATGACTTCAGTGTCTACAGGAGGCAGGCTATTGCCCCTTAGGACCAAGTTAGATTTTTCCCTGGCTTTTTTCTCCTTACAGCCACATCACCACAGCTAAGGCCTAGACCACACTATAAGATAATTTCCTTTATCTTGTTAGTGTTTCCAACTAGATTAGAGCTAAGTGACCATGACGATTGTGCCTTATGGTCCCACAGGTGTATACTTAGCACCAAGAGAGTATCTGACATGTGACAAACACTCAGTAAATATGACCAGATCTGCACCATTGGCAGTGGAAGAAGGTGTCTTTTCTAGCTGTGTTGTCAGTACTGTGCATTCTCAGTTTTCTTCATGAAACTAATATTGTCCATTTTTTATGCCAAGCTGAAAGAATACAGTGTAAAACAGATGACTGTTGTTGACAGTATGCTGAGACTATTCCTAAGAAAGATGGGTTTCTTCAATCTTTGACAGTTTAGTAAACTAAACATTGGCATCCCAGGTGGTATAATTGGTGTGATTTTTGACTCATTCATCAATGGTGAGGTTGAACCTCTCACCATTGTAGCAAGTGCTCTTCTGACTGAAACTAGGCAGCAGTCTTAGAGTGGGCCCTCTTTATCTTCCAAGATGGGAAATTTTCTTTATGTAGCTTGAAACATACTTTTCATTGACTTTCCTGGGCTGAGCTAATTATTTTGATTGGTGTTGTGTATCCCTGGAGTTTCAGAACAGACCCCAGTCCCTTCAGTGATAGTGGGTGAAGGGTGATAATGGCCCTGGAGGAGCAGAAACAAATGCTAGGGTCTCGGTGTGGTGAAAGGCCCCTGTCTGCTGGGCCAGGACCTGCTCTTCTGTTATCCCCATGTCCCATTGCCAATGTCTGTTCCTTTTCTTTACATGAGGCTTAATGTGGTGGTCTTGTCCTAAGAGGCGCCAGGGGGTGGACGAAACATGCAGGCAGCTTCTTGCCCGTCTTTGTAGGCCACATGTTGGGGGCACTGTTTCCTCTCTAGCCAAGATGGAGAATGTTCATTTAGTCTTCTAAATTGTTCCATATCCAGAGGCTTTCTTTTTTTCTTTTTTGGGTAAGAAGAGAGATAGAGGGAGTCCCCTTTTTAAAAAAACAGTGTGTGAATTTAGATTTTTTGGGTGACTGGTGTGGGCCCCTATAGGACAGAGTGAGTCACGTCACTGTCACTGGCTATTAACAGAGTCAGGCCAGTCTTTGTAAGATACTGTTCCTATGCCTGGATTGCTGGGGTCCTGCTTCTTGCTTTTTTTTTTTGTAAAGGAAGCTAATAGTGGAATACTAAAATTCAGGAGTAAAGCTTTTAAATCCACCATGTAAAAATTAAAAGTGTGTGAATTGGATGTACCTGTTATCCATCCCACACCTTAGAGTTCGTCTTTAACCAGTCAGCTTACTTGGGAGAGGCTCTTGGTTAATCCTGAACATTTCATTATTTTCTGTGCTGTTTACCTTGATATCACCTCTTCCTAATTAAACCCATTGCTTTGATGGGAAGGAGACTAGTGATGCACTGAATTTTACCCTTCATATAGAAATAAATTTGCTGATGGGAAAAGGTGGTGCTTATGGTATACTGTTAGATGAACTAAAGCAAGTTATGGAAGAGGGTGACTTCATAAAAATTCTATGTACATACACACACATTCATATGCAGAAAACTTGTATATACATGTGTATATATATACATGCATAGATATATGCAGAAATTTGCATGTGTACACATACATATGTATACACATATGTCTATGTATATCTTTACATACAATGTCTGAAAGAATGTAATTTGAAATATTAATAGCTCTTATTTCTAGAGTGGTATTTCTGGATTTTTTATTGCCTTCTCTTTGCTTATGTATTTTTTCTAGTAAACGTTGTTACGTGTACCATTCAGAAAGTTTAAAATTCAATGTTATTAAAGCTATTTCTCTTATAATAATTCATTATTTCTGCATGTTTACATTTATAGCCCAAACTTAGCATGGCCAAATGCAGAAGAAATGTGGAAAACTTTTTGGAAGCATGCCGGAAATTAGGAGTACCGGAGGTAACGTCAAATTTAGTCCCAATAACCTTGTTTCAGTAAAGATTTTATTTAATATACATGTTTGAATCCACTGAATAGATGTTCAGCTTTAGTCACCTTTTTTATCTCAATTTTTCTTGAGGAATAATATTGAGTAAGTTATACAAAGCTTTGAATTGCTTTATTGCAGTGAAATTATAATGGCTTAAAGCAGTATGGTCAATATCGAGGGAAAAGGGAATATAATTTCTTTAAGGTTTTGACATAAATGTGTAATTCCAAGCTTGAAAAAAAACATTTAGTCAATTTGATTTTCTACTACAAGAGCAGAAATTGCTAAGGCTTCAGGGACCCTTCTGTTGGGTTCCATAGGGTAGCATTTTGGAGCTGGTGGTTTTCCTTCTCCAAAGCTTTTACGCAAAGCAGACCTGTATTGATTACTCCTTTCTGGATTTCATTCCGTGTAGTTACATTTTGGGTCTGTGGGTCAAAATAATCAGCACTGAAAACATTATAATTATTGTTATTATTATCCTTAATATTACTGTTAATAATAACAATGCTTGTATGTTGCTTTATAGTTTGTTGACTGTTTGCATTTACATTTCCCTCTTTAGTCCCCTATAGATGCAACTATCAGTTCCCTGTAACTAGACCAACTATAGTTTGCTACTTTTTCTTTTCCCCATGGGAAGCCTCAGCCTCAGCTAGGCAGCTTATTCAGGGCTTTTATAGACTTTGCTATTAGCAACATAAAATGATTCCTTAGGGAGACAAAAGCCAATCCACTGAGAATCTGGGGGCAAGTTGAGAAGTTTATCATCACTGTGATAAACAGAAGTGGACAGAAATGATACTTCTCATAATTTTCTTCTGTCTTTTCTAACATTCTGGGGATAGAGTAACTACAAACTCTATTATGAGATACTGTTTTTGAGTATGTGGAGGAATTCATTTCAATGTCATTCTGCTCAGTGATAGGAGTTAGTGGAATTAAAGGACTTTTTCTCCCTCCCTCTCTACTTCCTTTTCTTCCCTCCATCCTTCCTTTTTATTTCTTTTCTATGTACTTCTCTCCCTATTTTTTAGCTTGGTGAGGTTCAAAAGTGAGGGGTTAGTGGTGTCTTGTAATCTTGTTTGAGGCCAAGGAGAGAATTATTAAAGCATCTTTGAGTCAGAACTGTATCAGTATGAAGCTTACAGATTAGTTTTTAAAAGTATCATCTTTTTAAAAAGTACAATGAACTGAATGTCTTTGTGATCGTTCCAAGTGTCTTCTGTGTGTAAACCTCTGTGTCTGTATGGTGTGTGTACATTTTAATATTGCATACACCTTCTTCACTTCAAATATTTGTGAAAATTCTTATACACATAACCTTTCTCATAAAATTTCCCATGTGTGAATCAAAACTATCATACCGAGTTTCAGATGATGAATTAATTATTCATGTCTTTATTAGAAAAATCCCATGTGATTTTCTAAACTCTGATGGCTTATGGTGATACAAAATGAAATGGAAATGTCCTGAACCAAGTGTTGTAAGTAAAGATTGGTAATTATACTTTCTTTTTAAAGTAAAGAAAAGGAAATTAAGTTACCATAAATATGCAGAGAAAAGTTTACCGTATTTCTAAATTATGCCCATAGCCTAGTGCCCCTTGCACTAGGCAGCTCATAATTCCTGAGAAAATTGAATTATAGGGAATAGATGACTTTTTTTGCCAATGTTCCACTTAACTATGCTTAGTAAGAAATATGCCACTTAGGCTATTTTTTTAAATTATTTTTAAGAGTTGAGATGATTTTCAAGTTTGCATAAGTATCCTTGACTTCAGACCTCTGTATGTAAAAAGGTCTTTAATTTAACAGATTTGTCCTCTTTAGAAGAGGTGGGAACTTAGACTAGAGATGCACTTTGCTTTCTAGCTGCCCAGCCCTTCATAGCCATTATTGTCCCCAGAGAGGAGATAGAGCAGAGGATTAAAGGCAGCAACTCCGAGTGGCAGACACCAGGGCCGCTGCCTGCCTGCCCGGGCAGCACAGAGCCAGGGGTCCTTGCAGAACTGTAGGGTGTCCCTTAGCTTCTGCATCAGCCAAATAAGTTAAAAATAAAGTCCTAAAGCACATGCAGATTCTAACAATAACTGTGTTGATGTAAGTAGACATATGGCTGAATCTTCCCTTCAATATCTCTCATATTTGCATCTTGTTGTCTTTTATAATGAGATATATTTGAAAATAATAGTAATAACTTTATTACTATTGTAAAATAATAGTAACTCCTGGTGGCAGAATCACTTTTGGCCAATGCTGTGACACACATAGACCATGTGATGTGGGGGATCTTCCCTATATGCATGATTGACAATAAACTTTTTTAAAAAATTTTATTATTTTAGTCTTTTTTATTTTATGTTTTTTAATTAAGGTATCATTGATATACACTCTTATGAAGGCTTCACAAGAAAAACAATGTGGCTACTACACTCACCCAACTATCAAGACACCCCATACCCCATTGCAGCCACTGTCCATCAGTGCAGCAAGGTGCCACAGAGTCACTATTTGTCTACCATGACCCCACAACACACCGTGTGCACCAATCATGATACCCCACAATCCCCTTTTCTCTCCCTCTCCACCCACCAACCCCTCCCCTTTGGTCACAACTAGTCCCTTCTTGGAGTCTGTGAGTCTGCTGCTGTTTTGTTCCTTCAGTTTTGCTTCATTGTTTTACTCCACAGATGAGGGAAATCATTTGGCACTTGTCTTTCGCCACCTGGCTTATTTCACTGAGCATAATACCCTCTAGCTCCATCTATGTTGTTGCAAATGGTAGGATTTGTTTCTTTCTTATGGCTGAATAGTATTCCATTGTGTATATGTACCACCTCTTCTTCATCCGTTCATCTACTGAGAGACACTTAGGTTGCTTCCATATCTTGGCTATTGTAAATAGTGCTGTGATAAACATAGGGGTGCACATGTCTTTTTGAATCTGAGAACTTGTATTCTTTAGGTAAATTCCAAGGAGTGGGATTCCTGGGTCAAATGGTATTTTTATTTTTAGTTTTTTGAGGAACCTCCATACTGCTTTCCACAATGGTTGAACTAGCTTACATTCCCACCAGCAGTGTAGGAGGGTTCCCCTTTCTCCACATCCTTGCCAGCATTTGTTGTTCTTAGTCTTTTCGATGCTGGCCATCTTAACTGATGTTAGGTGATATCTCATTGTGGTTTTAATTTGCATTTTCCTGATGATTAGTGATGTGAAGCATGTTTTCATGTGTCTGTTGGCCATCTGAATTTCTTCTTTGGAGAATTGTCTCTTCGTATCCTCCATCCATTTTTAAATTGGGTTATTTGCTTTTGGAGTATTGAGGCATGTGAGTTCTTTATATATTTTGGATGTTAACCCCTTGTTGGATATGTCATTTACAAATATATTCTACCATACTGTAGGATGCCTTTTTGTTCTACTGATGGTGTCCTTTGAAGTACAGAAGCTTTTTAGTTTGATGTAGCCCCATGTGTTCATTTTTGCTTTTGTTTCCCTCACTTGAGGAGATACGTTCAGGAAGAAGTTGCTCATGTTTATACTCAGGAGATTTTTGCCTATGTTGTCTTCTAAGAGTTTTATGGTTTCATGACTTACATTCAAGTCTTTAATCCATTTTAAGTTTACTTTTGTGGATGGGGTTAAACAATAATCCAGTTTCATTCTCTTGCATGTAGCAGTCAAGTTTTGCCAACACCAGCTGTTGAAGAGGCTGTCATCTCCCCATTGTATGTCTATAGCTCCTTTTTCATATATTAATTGACCATATATGGTTGGGTCTATATCTGGGCTCTCTATTCTGTTCCATTTGTCTATGGGTGTGTTCTTGTGCCAGTACCAAATTGTCCTGATTACTGTGGCTTTGTAGTAGAGCTTGAAGTCGGTGAGTATAATCCCCCCAGCTTTATTCTTCCTTCTCAAGATTGCTTTGGCTATTCAGGGTCTTTTGCGGTTACATATGAATTTTAGAACGATTTTCTCCATTTCATTGAAGAATGCTGTTGGTATTTTGATAGGGATTGCATTGAATCTGTAGATTGCTTTAGGCAGGATGGCCATTTTAACAATATTAATTCTTCCTATCCATGAGCACAGTATGTGCTTTCATTTATCGGTATCTTTATTTATTTCTCTCATGAGTATCTTGTAGTTTTCAGAGTATAGGTCTTTCACTTCTTTGGTTAGGTTTATTCCTAAGTATTTCATTCTTTTTGATGCAATTGTGAATGGAATTGCTTTTCTGATTTCTTTTTCTGCTAGTTCATCATTAGTGTATAGGGATGCAACAGATTTCTGTGTATTAATTTTGTATGCTGCAACTTAGCTAAATTCAGATATTAGATCTAGTAGTTTTGGAGTGGATTCTTTAGGGTTTTTTATGTACAATATCATGTCATCTGCAAACAGTGACAGTTTAACTTCTTCCTTACCAATCTGGATGCCCTTTATTTCTTTGTGTTGTCTTATTGCCATGGCTAGGACCTCCAGAACTATGTTGAATAACAGTGGGGAGAGTGGGCATCCCTGTCTTGTTCCCTATCTTAAAGCAAAAGCTTTCAGCTTCATGCTGTTCAGTATGATGGTGGCTGTAGGTTTGTCATATATGGCCTTTATTATGTTGAGGTACTTGCCCTCTATGCCCATTTTGTTGAGAGTTTTTATCATGAATAGATGTTGAATTTTGTCAAATGCTTCTTTGGCATCTATGGAGATGATCATGTAGTTTTTGTCCTTCTTTTTGTTGATGTGGTGGATGATGTTGATGGGTTTTAGAATGTTGTACCATCCTTGCATCCCTGGCATAACTCCTGCTTGATCATGATGGGTGATATTTTGATGTATTTTTGAAATCACTTTCCTAATCTTTTGTTGAGTGTTTTTGCATCTATATTCTTCAGGGATATTGGTCTGTGATTTTCTTTTTTTGTGGTGTCTTTACCCAGTTTTGGTTATTAGAGTGGT